GGCACTAGAATTAGGAGAAGGAAAAAGGGTAAATATATATACAGACTCTACGTATGCTTACCTAGTCCTACATGCCCATGCAGCAATATGGAGAGAAAGGGAATTCCTAACTTCTGAGGGAACACCTATCAAACATCAGGAAGCCATTAGGAGATTATTATTGGCTGTACAGAAACCTAAAGAGGTGGCAGTCTTACACTGCTGGGGTCATCAGAAAGGAAAGGAAAGGGAAATAGAAGGGAACTGCCAAGCCGATATTGAAGCCAAAAGAGCCGCAAGGCAGGACCCTCCATTAGAAATGCTTATAGAAGGACCCCTAGTATGAGGTAGTCCCCTCTGGGAAACCAAGCCCCAGTACTCAGAAGAAGAAATAGAATGGGGAACCTCATGAGGACATAGTTTCCTCCCCTCAGGATGGCTAGCCACCGAAGAAGGAAAAATACTTTTGCCTGCAGCTAACCAATGGGAATTATTTAAACCCTTCACCAAGCCTTTCACTTAGGCATTGATAGCACCCATCAGATGGCCAAATTGTTATTTACTGGTCCAGGCCTTTTCAAAACTATCAAGCAGATAGTCAGGGTCTGTAAAGTGTGCCAAAGAAATAATCCCCTGCACTGCAGGCCATACATTTCAATTCCTGTATCTTTAACCTACTTGTTAAGTTTGTCTCTTCCAGGATCGAAGCTGTAAAACTACAAATCATTCTTCAAATGGAGGCCCAGATGTAGTCCATGACTAAGATCCACTGTGGACCCCTGGACTGGCCTGCTAGCCCATGCTCCGATGTTAATGACATTGAAGGCACCCTCCCGAGGAAATCTCAACTGCACGACCCCTACTATGTCCCAATTCAGAAGGAAGCAGTTAGAGCTGTCATCGGCCAACCTCCCCAACAGCATTTGGGTTTTCCTGTTGAGAGGGGGGACTGAGAGACAGGACTAGCTGGATTTCCTAGGCCAACTAAAAATCCCTAAGGCTAGCTGGGAAGGTGACCGCATCCACCTTTAAACATGAGGATTGCAACTTAGCTCACACCTGACCAATCAGAGAACTCACTAAAATGCTATTTAGTCAAAAACAGGAGGTAAAGAAATAGCCAATCACCTATTGCCTGAGAGCACAGTGGGAGGGGCAATGATCAGGACATAAACCCAGGCATTCCAGCCAGCACGGTTACCCTCTTTGGGTCCCCTCCGTTTGTATGGGAGCTCTGTCTTCACTCTATTAAATATTGCGACTGAAAAAAAAAAATCTATTTCCTCCTGCTCCACAGCTCAGGTCTCCACATCACAGCTCAATGAAAAAGATAATGATCCTGTCTCTTGAATCGCCCAGACATGAAGTTTCCCATGGTAGTCTTAGGGCTGTTGGACCAAACTGTGGAAACCCTCACTCTAGGGTGCACACAGAAATTCCAGAAGCCCCAAGGTTGAGGCTGACATGCAAAGCTTCAATGATCACAGCACTAGATTCTAGCATTACAGAATACTGTCTACTGAGAGTGCTAGCTGATTCTTTGAAGGCACTGTGCAGAAACCCTATGACAACAATGTCAATGAAATTCATTCATGTTATTGTGTGTAGCTGTTCTTTGTTAATTTTCATTGCTATATGATATTCCACTGTATGAATAGACCCCCTAAATTATTAGACTATTGATGGATATTTTGGTTGTTTCCCATTTGGAGTAATTATTTACAATGCCGCAACAGACATTATTACTATTATTATTTTGAGAGAGGGTCTTGCTTTGTTGCCCAGGCTGGAGTGCAGTGGTGTGATCACAGCTCACTGCAGCCTCGACCTCCTGGGTTCGGTTCAGGCAATCCTCCCCACTCAGTCTCCCAAGTAGCTGGGACTATGGGAGCACACCAACATGCCTGGATAATTTTAAAATTCTTTTCGGTGGAGATAAGGTCTCACTATGTTGCCCAGGCTGGTTTTGAACTCCTAGCCTCAAGTGATCCTCCTGTCTCAGCATCCCAAAGTGCTGGGATTACCTGTATGAGCCATGGCACCCAGCTGGCATTATTTTACATATTAAAAAGAACGGAACAACACCCTGATTCTCTGGATTAAGCCATCATCCTTACAATAGTCCTTGAGGTCCTATGTTACTTCTCTGATGTAACACCTACTACTCTCCCCCTTGGTTATTCCATCCAATCATACCAGACTTTTAGCTACTCATCAAACATGCCAGGCACCCTCCTGCCTTAGAAGCACTGCACTGTCTAGTCCTTCTGCTGGGAATGTTCTCCCCAAGACCTGCACAAGCCTGTCTCCCTTCCCTCCTTTAAATCTGCTTCCATGTCGCCTCCATAAGACCTTTTCTGACCACACTATTGGAATTTCAATTTGCTTCTGTAACAGTCATCCCCCTTTATCCTGCTCTACTTCTTTTCTTCATATAATTAGGTATAAATTTACATACAATATATTTTATTATGTTTATGACTTAATCTCCCTCCCCTGGCTAGATGAAAAGCCCTAGAGGAGGAATCATTAATTTTTGTTCACCGATGTATACTAAGTGCCTACAAGAGTGCCTGGCACATAGTAGGGGTTCAAGTGATACTTGTGGAAGGAAGGAGAAGAAGGAAAAAGGGAAAAGAGAGGAGGGAAGGAAAAAGTAGGGGAAGGAGGGAGGCAGAGAGGGAAGAAGTAAAGAAGATAGGAACAAAGGAAAGAAGGAAAGGAGGGAGGAGGAAGACAGAGAGGAAAGATAGAAGGAATTTTGCCCTGAATAGGGAGACATAGGAGGTTAGTAGATAGAATCAATCAGTGAAAGAATTTTCTAGGATGGCAGAGATTTGAATATGTCCCATTTCTGAAGAAGGGAACCAGTAGAGATTGAAAGTCCAAGAGCATAGACTGAGCCAATTCTGAGAGTGTGTGAGGAAACAAGATCCAGAGCACAGGCAGTGGAATTAGCATTAGACAAGCCCAGGGTTGCAAAAAGCTGCTTTAAATCCTGGTGAATATTTTGTCAAGTTCCCAACAAGAGTGGACAGGCTAAACATTTGCCATGGGATTTCTGTTGCTACAGAATTGTTGGCTTTTGGGGTCCTGAGCTTCCTTCTAGATGGCTGGGCCTGGTAATTTTTAACCAAGTCCTCCTTACTCTACTGCCACCCCTAACCTAGTTGGCCTTGGACAAGTCAAAGGATGAATGACCATTATAACTGGAGGGAAGGAAGGATGGATGATGATGCAGACGAGTCACAGGCTTATTGGTATGATCCTAGTTGGAAGTGCTGGTTTGGTAGCTTGTTTTTTTCAATATATTTTTCACAGAAGTGGGGTTGAAGTCATTTGCTATGATTTAATCATGCTACTGGTGGTAGGCTTTGAGGTGAGAATGGAGGTACAATATTTTTGTTATTAAAAATAGGAGAATCAGCTGGGTGCGGTGGCTCATACCTGTAATTCCAGCACTTTGGGAGGCTGAGGCAGGCGAATCACTTGAGGCCAGGAGTTTGTGATCAGGCTGGCCAAAAAGGTGAAATCTGTCTCTACTAAAAATACAAAAATTAGCCAGGTGTGGTGGTGCACACTCGTAATCCCAGCTATATGGATAGTTGAGGCATGAGAATTGCTTGAACCTGGGGGGCGGAGGTTGCAGTGAGCTGAGATTGCGGCACTGCACCCCAGCCTTGGCAACAGAATGAGACTCCGTCTCAAAACAAAACATAAATATAGGAGAATGGTAGGAATTGCTGCTGTGGTAAAAGGTAGGGGAATATAGAATTATGTTTAGTTTGTGTCAGTGATGTGAATTCATGGTTGCTAGAACCTGCCCAACTGTGCAATGTACAGCCCAGGTACAGGCATGGAGCTCCAACCCCTCTCTCTTTTTGACCAGCTGAGATAGAACAATGGTGCAAATAATTCAAGGCAGCAAAAGCATCTGGGCTGAAGTGATGGACAATGAAGTCAAGGCTAGATGAGAAAGGGAGTAAAGATTTAAGGAAATGGATAGAAATAAAATGGAGGATTCTACAAACTACAGCAGTAATGATCAAACTTTCATGTGTGTAAGTATCACCTGGAGGGCTACATCCTGAAATTGTTATTCACTAGGTCTGGGTGATGACCAGAATCTCTGTCTTCAACAAGGATTCTAGTAGAGTCTAATGAAAGAAGGTCATAGACCAATTTTTTGTGAAATAGTGGATTTGAAATTGTAGTAAGTTTAAAGAAGTGATTTTTTTTTTTTTTTTTTTTGAGATGGAGTTTCACTGTGTTGCCCAGGCTGGAGTGCAGTGGCCCAGTCTTGGCTCACTGTAGACTCTATCTCCCAGGTTTGAGCAATTCTCCTGCCTCAACCTCCCAAGTAGCTGGGATTATGGAAATATGCCACCACGCCTGGCTAATTTTTTTTTTTTTTTTTTTTGTATTTTTAGTAGTCATGGGGTTTCACCATGTTGGCCAAGCTGGTCTCAAACTCCTGACTTCAAGTGATCCACCCGCCTTGGCCTCCCAAAGTGCTGGGATTATAGGCATGAGCCACTGCGCCTGGCCAAGAAGTGATTTTTGAAAAGAGCTGAGGAGAAGGAGATGGAAGGCGGGGTGGGGGAATAGAGAGAGAGAGAGAAATAAAAGGGAGAGCATGTGCACAAGACAGCAATAATGAGCTGGAAGAATAGGTCATTATAGTGGGAGATGATGAGTTTGTGATCTTAAAAGGTGAAGCCAACTTGAATGATAAAAGCGTCAGGGAGTGACCAAGGCAGTGGATGGCTGAAGTGCAGTGGAGGTGAACATCACCAGAGGTGAGGAGGTCAAAGTATGGAAAGCCTGGCTACTCCACGTGGACCTGAAGCCACCGCAAATAATAGCAGTACTCGGGGTATGAAGCAAAACTTGAACAGAGTTCAAGGCCATTGGTAAATGAAGGGGAGGAACTACAGGTGGGTACACAAAACAAAATACATATGGTAGAGGGGTGGAACTGGTTAGGAGTTTTTACACAATGGTGGAAACATGAAACTGGCTAAAGTCAGATGAGTGTTTATTGTTTGCCAGGCTTTTGCATACATTAGTCCATTTAATTCTCAGAAATGACCTTCATATGAAACAGGTACTGATTTTATTCCCATTTTATAATGAAGGAACCAAGTTACTGAGAGGTTAAACATCTCACAGTTCTTATCCACTATGTTATGCTGACTCTCTTAAAAAATGATCATGGAAGATGTGTTAATACATTTCAACTGAAAAAAAAGGTCAGATCCCCTGAATATTGTTAGGAGTTGTGTTAACTGCTTTGGAAAAACAATGTAAATATTTAAATTCCAGTTGTACCGAAATACCTTTTAACATCCAGCAGGTGGCAGCACTAAGTAACAATTCCATACTAGGTCATCTAACAAACATTAATCCATTCTGCACATATCAAGACTTCTGTACACTCCATGCCTTGATGATTTCTTCAGCAGCATCCAGTGTGCTGTCCTTCTGTAAATTAATGAAATAATCATCATTATTACAGATAGACATAAATTCAAGATGAAGCAAATATTTAAATATACAACATAATGAAGATTTAAGTGAATGTCTGATGTCAAGTGAAGAAAAATTTTCAAAGTGAAAAAGCAAAAGCAGAACCCAAAACAGGAAAACAGTTAACCAAATGAATTATAATTACAGAAATAGGTCAAAGGGTACAGAAGAGTTTACACGGAAAAATAATAGCTATCTGCTCCACCCCCTTTCCACCCCTTCCTATGACTCCCTCTAACTTCAAGATAACCTTTTATGGCAATTTCTGGTTTTAGTTCTAATGGCTACCACCAAAATCTAATAATGTGTTTATCCTTTTATTTCCTTATTTGTGAACTTCACATATTATCTACTATACCTATACTTTGCTCTGAACAAAAAAATTAGTTCATTCACAGTACTCTGCCCCTTGTTTTCAAGGTTTCCTAGTTGTAATTATTGAAAAATAGTTTATTTTTTGAATAGGTGATTCATACATATAGCATAAAATTAGACAGGTGTAAGCAGAAAAAATCCAGCCTTCTGTTGTTCATCTTCTGTTTCTCTACTTCTTTTTCTTTGTCTTCTCTCTCCACCAGAATGATTCAGTCTGAAAGCCAATAGGTGAGGTTGAGCAAAGCGGCTGTCCATGTATAGGGCTGGAAGAGCCTTGGCAACCCTAGTGCAGGACACTGCAGCCAGAGTGGAGTGAGCAGGGTGGCCAGCACAGGTGTCATGAGGTGATAGTGCTGGCTGCAATAGGATGTCAGACTCTGAGTGGGGTAAGTGAGGCACCTGTATGGTAGGGTGGCCTCATGTAGGGTCCTGGAGCCTGGATGAGGTGAGGCAGGCATCTGGCATGGTGTCAGTGCCCAAGAGGGGCAAGGAGGGCTTCTGTGTAGTAGATGACAGTGGTGGCCTGGTATGGGGTATTGGAGACCTAGATGGGGGCACCTCTCCAGGAGGATGACAGGACAGGTTGGCATGGGTGATAAAGCCCAGGCAGGGTGAAGATGTAATGTAGCAGCCTGGCACAAAATGTCAAAGCCTGAACGGGGAAAAGGGTATCCTCTCAGGGACTGGGAAGGTGAGGGGTGCGCAGTGGCTTTGACAGGAGATTGATCCCATACAGAAGTATTGATTAAATTAGTAATTACATGACTAGTGGCCAAATCTGGGAAAATCTAAGTATCAAAATAAGTAATAATAATAATAAATTTTAGCCAACTGTACTATAAAATAAAAATCCAGAAGTCCACATTGATACATATGAATAAGTTAATAAATAAATTGCTTAATGAGATATGGAATATTTTCATAATACCTTACTATAAAATATTTACTATTTAACAAGAAAAAGTGTAACTTTATACTAGAAAAGACTGGCAAACACCACCTTAATCAGGTGGCTAAAGTTAACATCACTGGTAATAGGAATAATTGAAATCATGTGCCACCTGATACAATGAAGAGGATAGAACATCATCACTTCTGTGGTTTCCTGCTGAAGTGCATAGCCTGAATCTGAGCATGAGGAAACATCAAGCTTAAATTGAGGTACTTTCTTAAAAATAATTCGTTGATAATTTTTAAAAGTATCAAGATCATGAAAGTCAAAGAAAACTGAGAAACCATTCTAGCTTAAAGGAGACATGACAACTACATGTGATGCATGATTCTAGCCTGAATTAATTACATAAATTGTTATAAAAAGGACATTATTGGGACAATGAATGACATTTATGTTGGATCTGAGGATTAGATGGAGTATCAACGTTAACTTCATGATTTTGAGGGTTATATTGTGGTTTGGGAGGACAATGTCTTGTTTGTGAAGAATACACAAGAAAGTATATGGGGGTGATAGGAGCATCATCAGTAATTAAGTTGACGACTTACTCTGAAATAGTTTAGAAAAAAGTTCTTGAAACTTTTAGGTTGAGAGCATTTCAAAATATTTGTTTTAAAGTAGGTCAGCTTCCCACCTATCTCCCTCAGTCACCCAGTTTTTCTCTCCAGAGGCAACACTGGGATTTCATTATGTATTTTTCCAGAGATTTTCATCTATCTTTCTTTTTAAAATTGTATATTTTTTATTATTCTTGTTTATTTATTTTTAACTTTTATTTTAGGTTTGGGGGTACATGTGAAGGCTTGTTACATAGGTAGACTCATGTCACAGAGGCTTGTTGTACAGATTATTTCATCACCCAGGTGTTAAGCACAGTACCAATAGTTACCTTTTCTGCTCCTTTCCCTCCTCCCAACCTCCATCCTCAAGGAGGCCCCAGTGTCTGTTGTTCCTTTCTTTGTGTTCACGAGTTCTCATTATTTTTGGCTCCCACTTATAAGAGAGAACATGTGATATTTGGTTTTCTGTTCCTGTGTTAGTTTACTAAGGGTAATGGGCTCCAGCTCCACCCATGTTCCTGCAAAAGACATGACTTCATTCTTTTTTATGGCTGCATAGTAGTCCATGGTGTATATGTACCACATTTTCTTTATCCAATCTGTCATTGATGGGCATTTAGGTTGATGTAAATGTAGCTATTCAAGCGGCCCCCACTGATGAATAATTTTGTTGTTGACAATATTTTGCTATTACAAGTGATGCCTCAGTGAAAATTCTTGAATACAAGTCATTCAAAATGTGCAAGTAAATCCACAAGAAACTTGTAGAAGTAGAATTGTTGGGTCAAAGGGCATGGGAAATCACATCTGGATAGAAATTTTCAAACTAACCACCATAGAGATTTTACAAATTATACTCCCACTCTCAATTTGTGAGAGTGTTTTATGAAACTTTTTAGTTGTTTTGGCTGTTTCCAATCTAAGAGATAAAATAAAATTTCTTTGCAATTCTAATTTTCATTTCTCTTACTATGAAATAAGTTTGACAACTTTTATAAGTTTAACAACTACTAAGGATCTTACCCATAATATTACAAAGTGTTATTTTTGCCTTACATTTATTTATTTTTATCACTTCTATCTTGCTCTGAATTCAAACTGCTTTCTTTCAGTCTGTTTTCTTAGTATGGTTTTGTCATTGTTTTATTTTTAGCCTTTCTAAGAGGTGGAGTTAGGTGTGTCTACTTTCCCTAGAAACTTCCAGCTACTTCCACACTGTTTGCCAATATTGACTGTTGATGTAAGAAGAGTCTGGGTCCACCCTGATCCTCCTCTCCTGGCCCCTCTGGAGGCCTTGACCTTATTATCTAGGTGCTCAAAGGAATTGTCTTTGAAGCCCAATATATCAAGCGAGGTATATCTCAGTGTTAATAATTGTATGACAATTATTATTATTTCCAGGTTCCATTTGTTCTGCTCTTATTTTTTTCTAGCAACTCTACGTATTTTATTTTTCCTCTGCATAAATCATTTTTCTGCCTAATATTTTAAAAATTATTTGTTCCTTTCCACTTCCTTTTGTTCACTTATCTCCATCCTTAATGTCCTTACAGAAGTATTTAGTGTTCTTTTAGTGTTCATTATTTTAGCAAATAATGTCACCATAATTTCCAATAGCTTTATTTTTTCTTTTCAATTTCCTACCTGAACTCTGATAGCTCCCATTTGATCTTCTTATAATATCTTACTCTATCTTCCCTGAATTCGTAAAATCTCTCCTTTAATTTCTCATTTTAAAGGTTTTAAATTTGAAATAGCACTAATTTTATTTGCTCTATGGCAACATTTTTTTTTGGGCGAATATTCTCTAACACTTGTTTTTCCTTGTACCTTTCTCTTTTCCTTACAGTGTCCTATATAGATTCACAGTTGGTTCCTCTTTTATTATTATTATTATTGTTATTATATTTCTTGAGACAGAGTCTCACTCCATCACCCAGGCTGGAGTGCAGTGGAGCAATCTCAGCTCATTGCAACCTCTACCTCCTGGGTTCAAGTGATTCTCGTGCCTCTGCCTCCTGAGTAACTGAGATTACAGGCATGTGCCATCACACCCACCCCAATTTTTTGTATTTTTAGTAGAGATGGGGTTTCACCATGTTGGCCAGGCTGGTTGTGAACTGCTGACCTCAAATGATCCTCCTGCCTTGGCCTCCCAAAGTGCTGGGATTACAGGTGTGAGCCAACACACCTGGACCCTCCCCTTTGATTATTAATCATTTTTTATTGAATTCTCTTTGTAAGCTTCCACTGCCAAAGCATGTACTATACCTATTGTTCTGGGCAATAAGCATGCTACCTGCTGGCTTTGTCCGTGATTTGAAGATAGATTTGCTGATTTGTATAAGGGAGAAGCTGGGGCAGCACCAGAAAAGAGCAGAAATTCTCCTTGTCTCATAGTAAAATTTAATATAGTTGAAAATTTACATAGTAAAATTTAACTCAGTGGGCGGGAGTTCTTTTAGACCAGATTTCTTACCAAATAATTAAATTGGTTATCCCCAATTTAATACATCTCTTCCGCATTGCTTCAACATAGCTTTTAGCAAAATGACAGGAGTAAATGAGGAAATCTATAGACCAACCAGAGTCTCCTTTCCACCTACCTCACATAGTTTCCGGATGACATGACTGTATGTTTTTGCCCTGTTTCCTCCATGATGCCAAACGGTCTAGAGAAGTTCCTGCTGCCAGTGCATCAACTGCTTCTATTCTCAATAATGAGTATGCTGCCTTCTGGCTTTGTCTGTAATTTGAAGATGTAAAAGCAGGATCCTTTCTAGGTATCTTCCCTCTACTATCACCTTCACAGTATTTAGCAACTTTTCCTTAAACACTGGGGAATTTGTTTTCTATTGTCTTAGTTGTTTTTAAATAATTTCTAAAAAGCGATTAGGGAAGGGCTGGGTTTACCATTTTAAAACTGGAAGTCCTATGTTACTTCTTTCTTCTGTTAGTTTTGTTTAAAATTTCAAATAATATACCACTATTTCTCAATCCAGTGTAAGATGATGGATATTAATAGCGTTACCGTTCTTTAAAATTTCAGTCAATTGAATGTTTACATTGTTAGGTTGTTAATATTTATATTCTATTCTGGGCAAGTCTGGCATAGTCTGTCTATCGGTTGTCTCTAAAAGTTGAAAACAGTGTTTATGTTATTCTGATTAGGTTTAAAGATGAGTGAGTTGATAAAGTGTCTTGATCTTAGTAAAACTATTTTCAGTACCAACTACATTTTAAAAACAGCAGTAACATACTTGGAACCTTTTAAAAAAGGAGGAGAAGTTTGATGGTGATAAATTTCTCAACTTTCACTCTTCAGGGATATCTACTTCATTTTCATTTTTAAAGGATATTTTCCTAGATATAGCATTCTAGGGTTTTTTTTGTTTGTTTGTTTTTGTTTTTTTTATGTCAGTGCTCAGAAGATGTTATTTCATTGTATTCTAGTCTCCATTGTTTCTGATAAGAAGTTAGTTAACATTTCTACGGGGACCTGCTGGGCTTATGCGATCCTTGTACCATAAACTCCTGAGTAGCGAGTACCATAGGCATGTGCCAGCAAGCCTGGCTAAGTAAACATTTTTTTTTATAAAGACAGGATCTCATTACGTTTCCCAGGCTGGTCTTGAACTCCTGGACTCAAGCAATCCTCCCGCCTTGGTCTCCCAACATGTTGGGATTACAGGCATGAGCCACTACACCTGACCTCTGGCTGTTTTTTTTTTTTTTCTGACACCTTCAATACTCTGTTATCCCTATAAGTATTTCATAGCAGATATTATACTTTTAAGTTCTTGAATTTCCACTTGGTTCTTTTTTTTTTTTTTTTTTAATAGTTTGAATCTCTCTGTTCACTTATTATAACCACGTTTTCATCTAATTTCTTAAACATACTTCAAATGTTTACTTTAAAGTCCTTGTCTGCTAATTTCTAGATTTGGGTCACCTTTAGGCCTATTTCTATTAACTTATTTTTTGCTTTGCTACAGGTCACATTTTCTTCTGTTTTCTTATGTCTAGTAATTTTTCAGTGAATGCTGGAAATTGTCATATTACATGGTAAGGGGTCTGTATTATGTTGTCTTCTTTCAAAAAGTGTTAAATTTTATTGTGGTAAGCAGTTAATTTTAAAACCATAAGCCAAAATTTAAAAACTGCATATGAGCATATCATTTTTAGAAACAGAAGAAAATAGTGCTTTACAAATGGAAAGGAGGATACTATATATGTGTTTTCAATAGAGCAAGGAACTTACTTTAATGAAGCAAAATCGCACAAACTTCTCAAACTGTGATTTAGTCTCTGAGTTACAGAATGCTGAAACGGGGATGGCTGATAGTTTCTGAAAAATAGAAACATATAATAAGAAAATTACTTACACTTCAAATATTAATTTTGGTACTATAGACACTAGAGGCAACTAGATACTTTTAAATAGTCACAATAATTTCCAAAAAGAAAAATGCTTTTAAAAGCCACAAGTGGAGTATCATATAACAACATTATATTTGATCGATTCCAAAGCATACTAGTAGGTTTCCTTCATAAATTAACTATAAAATATAATACAATCTTGTAAAGGACAATAAACATTACCTTATGTTTAGTCATCCATTTCACAAACTTATAGTCATACGGCTCATTATTCTTCATATCAGAGAGGTCTGGATCTAAAACCACAATGAAAATTAGGTGGCCTATGAGTTTAATCTGATGCAACATGTATTTCATTTCAGTCTATCAAGATTCAACATTTTCTCCTATTTAAATTTTCTCAGAACATAGTCACAGAATATGCTAGAGTCTCACACTGCACAGTGGGGTGGGAAGTGAATTCACAGAGCTTTACTGATAGTCTAAGGCAGTACTCACATATACATCAGGGTGATTAGGCTTACACATGCTTTCAGCACAGGAAGAGAGTAGAAAAGGTGAAGGGCAGAGGAGGGATGCCTTTCCATATTACTAAGGAAATAACTGCTAAATTTATAAGTATTTATCAGTAATGATTATATCTCCACATAGCCGCCTATTAGACTATAAGTTCCATAAAAGTAAAGCTCTGTTTTGTAACCTATTGTATTCCCAACCCCTAGGTCAGTGTCTAGCATATAAGTGACAAAAAGTATATTTGTTGAATGAATAAATTAATATTATTCATTATTTATAGATACAGGATATCTGTTTAGCTCTTCCAAATGCTACTGTTATATTTCATCTCTTACTTCCATATATTATACTGTTTTTTAAATTTGTGAAAAAGTCAAATATATACTCCTACTCGCTCTTGCCTCAATCTTGCTTTAAGGTCTGGGCAAGATATATCTCTGGCATTCAGTTTCAGCAATCCACATTTCATATTGTTTCAACTTTATTGACTTATACTCTTTGATCTTCTTGAATGCCCTAAAGCAACTAATGTTGATGGTTATCGTCACTGATGAAATTTTATAATGTATTGCTCAAAACAAATTGAGGCAGATATCTTCTTTCTTCTATACATTAAATACTAGTGGTTCTTTTCAAATTAATCATGTAAAACTTTTGACACTGAAGAAAGGTTCACCTGTATTTTTAAAACAAAGCCCTACTATCCTTTTACCTGATATTTTAATCTCCATTCTCCCCTTAAGTGTTAAGGAGAACATAAAATTTCCAAGTAATAATGCTAACAACATACTGCAACTTATTGAACACTTATTATTGGTTAAGCATGTTACATGATCATCTCATTTAGTTGTTACCACAATTCTGAGAGGTAATTATAATCCTCTGTTTACAGATAAGGAAGTTACATTATTATTTCAAAGTATTTATGTGTAATTCAGGTTTGGCCCTAACAAAAATACCAGCTAAAAAACTTAGTCTAATTGTAAAGTACCTAAAAATTGCATGTGACAGGTATACAACAGCAGTGTATTGAAGGTACATAGGAAGCCAGAGAAAGGAGTGAATACCTAAGGGAGTAGAAGGAGATTATTAACTAACTCTAATTGACACTGTACTACTCATTTATTCTTGTAGAGCTTAGACAAAAAGAATTTATTTATTTATTTATTTTTTTGAGATGGAGTTTCGCTCTTGTTGGCCAGGCTGGAGTGCAATGGTGCGATCTCGCCTCACTGCAACCTCCACCTCCTGAGTTCAAGCAATTCTCCTGCCTTAGCCTCCCAAGTAGCTGGGATTACAGGCATGCACCACCACGCCTGGCTAATCTTTGTATTTTTAGTAGAGATGGAGTTTCACCATGTTGGTCAGGCTGGTCTCAAACTCCTGACCTCAAGTGATACGCCCGCCTCAGCCTCCCAAAGTGCTGGGATTACAGGCATGAGCCATGGTGCCCTGCCAGAAAAAAGTAATGTAATACCATGATGCTGAAAAAGGAAAAGAAGGCAATAAATATAATTATAAAGGTTTTATAGACAGAAGGAAGTTGGAATCTATTTCTTTTGAAATGCCTCAGCTAGACATGGGAACTAAATAAAGTCTTTATTTATTGATGGTAAGAGTTTAAATCAAATGTGTGAGCATATTTAAGTGATTTATGAAGGCCGAAATTTGTTTTTGCATTCTTACTATCTCCTCCATAATTTTGGATCCTATTATTTCACTAGAAAAACTAATAATCTCATTTGAAATCTTGTCTTCTAATTACTGGATTCAGAGGCTAGCTTTGATACTTATTAGTTGATTAACTTCAGTAAATTACTTGATTATCTCCTCTTCTCTATCAATAGTGATATAATAGCACCAATTTCATATGGCTTTTGTGAGAATATATTTGCAAAGCTCCTAATGTAATTCATACTATATCATAAATTCTCAATAAATATTAACTAGTCAGCCCTTGCTATTAATTGTAAAGGGAAATAATTACTATTTTCATGAATATTATGGTTTACTTTTATTCTCAAGCCATGATTAAATAAGAGTTTTTGTTTTTATCTCTAGTTTATGGGCCAACTTTTAGTATCTGGAAGAATTATCACATTGCAAATTAAGCAGATGAAAGAGTAAAACAAAACATAAATTTTTTTATATATAGGAAGGTTTTGTGGATATTAACATTTTTCCACATGAGTGAAGGAAGACCATAAAAAAATCTTGTTTTCATTATCAGAAAAGCTTTCCTAACCAAAATCTTTTTTGCTCCTATTATCACCACAGTAATTCAAGATCTAAGACCTAAATTAGTATTGCATATAGAATGGACTGACTGAGGAAAGAAATGGAAATTAATTAGGCGCTTAATGTAATATTCTGAGTTGTATCACTGTTCTTTTGATAGTTAATGTCACAATGTGATAAATCCAGTTTACTATCTGGAAGAGTTTAGTTCCAGGAAATAATTGTTCTTATCTAAAAAGCTAAGTTTCCTTTTATTCAAAAACTACATAACTAATTTCATTTTTCTATTTGCCTTTACTGTCAGGAAGTTTAGTCTCAAGTTAACGCTAATTACAATACTATGTCAACCTAGGTGACTGATATATTTGCTTTCTTCCCTTCCTATGTGTCACTGATTTTTTTTTTTTTTTTAAATTTAAGAGACAGGATCTCGCTATGTTGCCCAGGCTGGTGGTGAACTCCCGGGCTCAAGTAATCCTCCTTCCTTGGCCTCCCAAAGTTCTGGGATTACAGACAAGAGTCACTGCACCAGCCATGTGTCATTGATTTTTGATTTAGATACAACCATTTATATTTATATATTACTGCATAGAAAACTTTTAATATGAGTAGGCTCACATTCCTTTTGGAAGCATATAAAATATAAATTTTGTTCTTTTAAAAAAATAATAATTCAAATGGAAATCTTGTGGATTTATGATTCAAAGGCAAAAATATAAGTGATGACAACTGTGCTAACATTTCTTTTTATCATTTCATAAAATAAACTGCACATTTACACTCAATATAGAAAAAGCACTTCCCAAATCTCAGAGTCTAGAGCATCTTAAGGGTTTTTATATAAGCATAGAGCTTGGGAGCCTGTTAAATACAGCTCTATGGCAATAGGACTGCAGGAACCTTTGCTTGCCAAAGTCTCTTCTCTCACAACAAATGAAGAAATAAGTTAATGTGAAAGGAAGGATAGTGTTTCAGTTTGAGCCAAACATTGTGTAATGAATTCTTATGACTGTATGTTGCTTTGGCATCCATTGTGAATATAAGTTGGTCTTTCTTATACCAGAAGCATGGCTTAGTCACCCTTGACACAATTTCCACTTCTCTTCCTCCTCACAGTTCCTCAGTGTAGTTGATTCAGATATCTGCCTGAGACAACCACCTCCTGGCAAGCACCTCACTGTGGGACAGCTAGATACAACCTACTTGACTCGCCCACTGACCCCCACCCTCCTCATGGACTGCCTAGACATGCCACAGGGACCACCTACCTCTCAATCACAGCCTGACTCTGTGAGCTTGTGCCTGCTTGCTCTAAACCCATCTGTCAGAACTCTCTGCAGAAAACCTGCTTGGGTAACACCCTAGACCCCCAAAAAGGCTTTGGCCCACAGATCCCACTCTCTCTCTGTTCCCCACCTGCTGGTTAAGTGTGTATATCCTGGACCGCTCCTCACTTCCCATTGGTCCCGGAGGCCTGCTGCCTCCTCTGTGTCCCAACTGACCAACACACTGGAACCTAACTCTCCTCTTCCTAGAGAGTGGCTATCTCTGTGGAAATAAACTGGATACAGGTCAGACGAGAGCCACAAGGGTGTCTGCCAGTATAAACCAGTTTCCAGGGATGTCTGGTCATGGGTCAGACACTTAACATCAGGCCATCTGCTAGGATAAACAAGTAGCCCATGAAAGGCACACTGCAAACATCTAGGACCTCCCCTGGAGCCTCATCAGGGAACAGCCAGAGTTTATAGCCACTTTCCAGAGAGACAGACCTGAAGACCAAATTATAGGAAAATCGTAACACCTTACTTTTCTGAAATTTTCTAAGATGATAATGAACTATTACAAGGAAAAATTGCTAACATAAAATGCTTATAGTAAGAAAGAACTCAGCCAGTGGCGCATGCCTGTAATCCCAGCACTTTGGGAGGCCAAGGCAGGTGGATCACTCATTAAGCTCAGGAATTCATGACCAGCCTGGGAAATGTGGCAAAACTTCGTCTCTAAAAAAAATTTAAAAATTAGCCAGGTGTGGTGGTGCGTGCCTGTGGTCCCAGCTACTCAGGAGACTCAGGTGGCAGAATGGCTTGCGCCCAGGAGGCGGAGGTTGCAGTGAGCTGAGATCACGCCACTGCACTCCAGCCTGGGTGACAGGGCCAGACCTTGCCTGAAACAAAACAAAACAAAACAAAACAAAAAACAAAACAAAACGAAGCGAAGCCAAACAAAATGAAATGAAACAAACTCCTATGTGAAGGACATAAAGTTAAAAAATATAATCAGTATTTTGTTATAAAATTGAAAATTTCCTTTACTCTTTCCAGCTTTATACAATTTGGTATAAATAAAACACTTCAGTTTTTCAAGTTCATAGGCATATAACTTCATTGTAATAAAATTTTAAAACATTTAAAGCTATATTTAGAATGGCTGTAATTTCTGTCATGATAAATTAGGCTTCAAGATTTACTATTATTAATTTCTTTTTAAAGAAAAGTTATGTATGATACGTTATCATGCTTCTGACTTTAGATTTGTAGGGCATGTCAGAATTACACATAACAGCTTTAGGTAATATAAAAAACAATGCTTTTTGGAAACAGAACTATTTAGAATCTAGCTCCGTGACTTCAGGGAAGCTATTTAAAACTTTCTAAATGTTCTTACCTGCAAAAATGGAGCTAATGTTTTCTTCAAAAGGGTATTTTGAGTACATGACACAAAGTAGACCCTCAATAAGTGTTATTCTCCCATTTATTTTATTTCAGTACATTCTAAAATGGCAAATATTCCCTGATAGCTTTAAAATTTCTAGATTTTTTTCTAATGAAATAGTACATTTTGTTAAGTAAAAAGGAAACTACAATTTTACTCAAATGAACACTGAGTATATAATATTATTTCACACACTTGTGTTTTAAAATTACACACCAGAAGAGAGTGACAGCAAATCCTACATTTAATAGACTAACTAGAACAACACTGACTCCATAACCATTTAACAATGGTAACATTTAAGATAAAAGACCTAAAAGTAAAGATAATTATAGAAAGTGTAGACATTGCAAAAATCCATCCTTCTCCACAGATAAAATGCTGCTATGGCTTTGACACCAATCTTTTCTCCAAGATTCTGATATAATTTCACACATAAGTTTCCATATAGTTGAAATAATAAAAGCCTTTACAAACCTAGCAAAGACACATCAGCGATGATGAAGTATCCTCCGTCAGGAACTATGGGTTTTAGGCCAACACTTTCCAGTAAATGTACCATCCGATCTCTTTTTACTTCTAACTCTTTTGGCAAAGAATTAAAGTAACATTCTGGGTCATCCATGCGCTTGATGTCAATCCAGAAAGCTTGAGCCAAGGCTTCCTGTTTGTCAGAATTAAAAAATATGAAAAGGAATATGGTAATGTTATTTATTGCTTAGTTTATTGGTATAATAAAGATGATCTGAGTAAAATTATTGGCAAAGAAGTCACTCAGGAAATAACAGTTGAATTCCTGTGAACCTATATTAAACTCTATAGGTTAATGGAGGAATCAGTTATACCTAAATGATTAAATCTCATGTAAAGAACTGAGAATGAGTCCTGAAAATTCAAATTGAAAAAGAGTTGTTATATAAAGATGGCTTGCTTGGAAACAAAAAGACATTAAGATATTTTCTGCTGAGGTGAGTTGTAGAATGACTTGCTAAATCTAAGTCAGAAGAACAACCAGAGAGTAGTCAGCCTGTCACCATTATATTTGGGGACAGAGTGGAAATGAAAGCTGACCTACTGTGCAAAGGAGAAATGTGCCTTTCTTATTCTCCATAGGTGTGGAAATCCTTGCTGGAATTATTCATATACCAGGAAGGTGGTCAAAGTGTAAGAGGGACTAGAAATGAGTTTCTGGAACATCTACAGTAATTCCTCTACCTTTCTTCAAGAGCCAGGACAGCAAACTGGGCCAAGGAAAAAGCCAATGTTGTTAAGTACAGTGGACTGAATGTTTGTGTCTACTCTCATATTCATATGTTAAAATCGTAAACCCCAAGGTGATGGTATTAGGAGGTGGGGCCTTTAGGAGGTGATGAAGGCAGAAGGGTAGAGCCCTCAGGAACAGGATTAGTGCCCTTACAAAGGAGGGTTAGCTTGCTCCTTCCACCACATAAGGACACAGCAAAAGACACCATCCATGAAGGAGCACGTCCCCACCAGACACCAAATCTGCTGGTACCTTATCTTGGACTTTGCTGCCTCCAGAATGGTGAGAAATAAATTTCTGTCATTTATAAGCCACCCAGTTCATGGCACTTTGTTATTGCAGCTCAGACCAACTAAGACATTAAGGATCAGGCAGGTAAGAGAGACTGTGTGGCAAGAGATGAGACTGGAGACAGAGGGGGGCAAGATCACAGAGAAGATTTTATGCCAAAAGAATGCAGTAAAACAGAATTAGTAATAATTCTCCAGTACTACAAAATCTTGGAAAACAAGGATTGATTGCCTTAGCCTAGAAATCTGTGGTTTCCGAGAACCAAACATGGTTGTCCCAGGACAAAACAGAGCACTTAGCTGAAATGGAGAATAAGAGGGTTCAGAAAAAGATGTTCTGCATTCTTAGCTATATCTTTTTTTTTTCTCTTGGCAACTTGTTCATTTACTATAGGAGATACTGCCTCAGAAAATTCCAAGTATAAGGAGACAAAAACATCCATCCTAACTACAGCATTATCCTGGACTCCTTTCTTTTTCTCATACCCCATATGTAACCTATTGACAAATAATGTGGGCTCTACTTTCAAAATATATTCAGAGTCCAATTACTTTTTACTGCTTCTACCATCCCCATCTTGGTTCAATGCACTGGCATTTCTCTCTTGGATCACTGTAACAGCTTTCTCACTCAATGAGGCAGTCAGAGTCCATTTGCTAACACAAGCCAGACCAAGTCACTCCTGAGCTCAAAACTCTCTGGTGACTTCCTATCTCACTCAGTCCTTACAGTGACGTGCACAGCCCAGCTCCATTGGACTTCCAGCTACCTCTCTGGTCTTAGCTTTTCCTACTCTTCTCTCTCGATCATTCCATTCCAGTCTCTGTGCTGTTCTCTGATATTAACATGCCAGCCAGGCTGTCTACCACTTGGCCTTTTCACTTGCTGTTTTCTCTGTACAGAGGGGTTCTTCTCTAGGCAACTATGTGGCTGCTTAATCTCCTTCAGTTAGTTGTTCAAATGTTACCTTTTCAGGGAGGCTTTCAAAGATTACCTTGTTTAACACTGTATATCTCCCACCCGGAACTTTATATCCTTCCTCTTCCCTATTTTATCTTTCTTCTTCATATCTATCAACATCTTTTTTTTTTTTTTTTTTTTTTTTTTTTTTGAGACGAAGTCTTGCTCTTGTTGTCCGGGCTGGAGTGCAATGGCACGATCTCAGCTCACTGCAACCTCTGTCTCCTGGATTCAAGCAATTCTGCCTTGGCCTCCTGAGTAGCTGGGATTACAGGTGCTCACTACCATGCCCAGCTAATTTTTGTACTTTTAGTAGAGATGGGGTTTTGCCATGTTGGCCAGGCTGGTCTCGAACTCCTGACCTCAGGTGACCTGCCTGCCTTGGCCTCCCAAAATGTTGGGATTATAAGCGTGAGCCATTGTGCCTGGTTCTTTTGCCTTTTTAACTGCCTTCTAGAAAAATACTATTTTTTTCAGCATTTTGATTATCCATAGAATGATGGTAACTAAATCCCTATTTCCATAATAAATATATAAAAATATTAAATATTAAATAATATTTAAATAGTTTTTCTTTTTTACTTTATGATGTATTCTGGAAATCTTTTTTATCTCAGTACAGTAATTATAGTATTTTCCCATTTTCTTTCTTGTTTCTTTTCTCTTCGGTAGTCAGTAGACAGAGTAATGGGTCCCAATGACATCTAGGTCTTAAAACCCAGAACTTGTAAATATGTTACGTTGCATGGTGAAAGGAACTTTGCAGATGTGATTGAAATTACGGAGATTATCCTTAATTAACTGGGTAGATTATGCATTGAGCCCAATGTTATCTCAAAGGTACTTATAAGGGAAAAAGGGAGGCAGAAGGGTTGAAGCCACAGGAAATGTGTTGACAGAAGCAGAGGATGGACTGATGTGACTGTGAGCCAAGGAATGTAGGCAACCTCTAGAAGCTGGAAAAGGCATGGAACAGTCTCTCCTATAGCCTTCAGAAGGAACACAGCAATGCCAGCACCTTGATTTTAGCTCTTTAAGACCCATTTCGGACTTCTGAGCTGAAGAACTGTAGGATAATAAATTTGTGTTATTTTAAGTCACTAAGTTTGTGGTAATTTGTTACAGCACCAATAGAAAACTAAATATGGTCATATAACATTTCAATGTTTGGATAGATCATGGTTTATGTAATCAATTGTCTGTAGATGCTTATGGATTATCCTCAATCATCTGCAATGAATAGCCAGGTAAGTGCATAACTTCTTACATGTGCAGATAGCTTGATATGGTTTGGATCTGTGTCTTCATCCAAATCTCTTGTCTAATTGTAATCCTCAATGTTGGAGGTAGGGCCTGTTGGGAGGTGATTGGATCATGGGAGTGGTTTCTCATGAATGGTTTAGCACCATCCCCTTGATGTTGTTCTCATGATAGTGAGTTATTGGGAAATATGGTTGTTTAAAAGTGTGTTGTACCTCCCCACTTCTCTCCCTCCTGCTCCAGCCATGTAAGACATGCCTACTTCCTCTTTGCTTTCCACCATTATTGTAAGTTTTCTGAGGCCTCTCCAGAAGCAGAAGCCACTATGCTTTCTGTACAGCCTGTAGAACCGGGAGCCAAGTAAACCTCTTTTCTTTATAAATTACTAAGTCTTCGGTATTTCTTTACCTAAGTGCAAGAATGGACTAAAACACAACTTTAGGGTAAATTCTTAGAAGATGGATTGCTTTCATATGGCAAACACATGTGTAATTTTGCTTGGTGTTGCCATTGTCCTTCACAGAGTTGTAGCACTTTAGATTCCTGCCAGCAATGTTTAACATAGCTAAACTTGTGTTTAAAAAAACACTCAAACCATCCTTGATAACAGTGAATATGTATCTGCTCCCCAAATTCCAAATTATATTAGAAGGCCCTGCAACAGAAGGATAGAAAGAGAACTAAGTCAATTCAAATATGCAATATAAAAGTAATACCTTCACCAAAAGACCATCCTTCTAACCTGAATTACTATAACACTTACCTGTAAAGGAGTTGCACAAGTATAAATTGTGTTTTGTTGAACTGTCTGTAAATGTTTTATCAAATGATTCGGACCAATGGACCAGCCAAGCTGGGAAAGGAGAAGATAAAACATATCAGAAAATCTAATTGTATATAACAAATCTGAGACAGCAGTTTAAACTTAGTGCAATTGTTAAATATATACAATCCTAAAATGTTGGCTGGGTATGGTGACTCACACCTGTAATTCCAGCACTTTGGGAAGCTGAGGTGGGTGGATCACTTGAGGTTAGGAGTTGAAGACCAGCCTGGTCAACATGGTGAAATGCTGTCTCTACTAAAAATACAAAACAATTAGCTGGGCGTGATGGTGGGCACCTGTAATCCCAGCTACTTGGGAAGCTGAGGCAGGAGAATCACTTCAATCCAGGAGGCAGAGGTTGCAGTGAGCTGAGATCACACCACTGCACTCCAGCCTGGGCGACAGAGTGAGACTCCATCTCAAAAAAAAAAAGTTCACACTATGAAAGTAGTATAGTATTAATACTTAGAATCATTTCGATGGTGTTCTTTTCAAGGAACAGCTTCCAAATGGAGTCATATTCTGGAAGATTAAAAACTGGTAACAAAGCTTGTTCAAATTACAGATTAAAGTAACTCTGAATGAGGGCCTAAGGTACTCATAATTAAAACATATAGACTTGATTCTGCAGGCCTAATTTTTGATGCTCCCTCTTTCTTTTTTTTTTTTTTTTTGATACAGAGTTTTGCTCTTGTTGCCCAGACTGGAGTGCAATGGCTGGATCTTGGCTCACTCAACCTCCGCCTCCTAGCTACAGGCGATTCTCCTGTCTCAGCCTCCCAAGTAGCTGGGATTACAGGCATGCACCACCATGCCCAGCTAATTTTTTTGCATTTAGTAGAGATGGGGTTTCACCACGTTAGGCTGATCGAGAACTCCTGACCTCAGGTGATCTACCCGCCTCGGCCTCCCAAAGTGGTAGGATTACAGGCGTATGCACCATGCCTGGTCAATGCTCCCTGCTTTTTACCCATGTTCAGGAGAGATGAGGCTGGAAGAAACTTGGGTTTTAACTGGATAAATTATTGTAATAAATAATACAGTGGTTAAGTGCATGATTCTGGAGCTAGACTTCCTGTACTGGCTTGAATTTATTAGCGGGGTAATCTTAGGCAAGTCATTTAACTTCTCTGTGCTTTAGCTTTGTCATCTGTAAAATGAGGATACTAACCATACCCACCTTATAGTGCGGTTATGAGAATGAAAGAAATTAGTATATGTAAAACATTTAGAACCTGCCAAAATATTAGCTACGGTTATTTTTTCTTCTTTTATATTAATATGCAGGAATCTGAACACTTTTTTGCAAAGAAAAAGGTGTCATTAGTTGATCACTTATAAAAGGGAAAATGACCTAATTTTTCTTACTTTTAAAGAAATAATTAGGTCTCAAAAAGGATAAAACTCAACATGAAAGCAAAATAAGTCAAGAGATAAGCAAAGATCACCAGGTATAAAAATCTATATAAACTGAATATGTATGCAATTATTCATTTATCTGTTTACTTATTTATTTCATTATTTTTTTAAAGATGGTCTTGTTCTGTCTCCCAGTGGCCGGAGTGCAGCTCACTGCAGCCTCAAGTTCCTGAGCTCAAGTGATCCTCCCATATCATCCTCCCAAGTTGCTGGGACTGCAGGCATGCACCACCCTGCCATGGTGACAGGGTCTCACCATGTAGCCAAGTTTGGCCTTGAACTCCTGGCCTTAAGTGATCCTCCTGCCTTAGCCTCCCAGAGTGCTGGGATTATAGGCATGAGCCACCATGCCTGGCCAGCATTTAAAACACAAAACACTCTACAAAAAAATAAATAATATACAGGCCTATTTTTAAGCAATTAAATTCTTACTCATCTTACCTTCCAGCCAGTTACACTGAAAGTCTTTCCAGCACTTCCTATTGTTATTGTTCTCTCCCACATACCTGGAAAAGTAGCTAAACAGAGGAGGAAAAAAGGTTAAATAATTGTTTTCCAATTAATCTACATTTAGTATAATCTAAAAACATAACAAAGATACATAAATTCAATGAAAATAAGTGTATTATAGTTTAGCCAGTATAGTTATTTCTAGTTTTTTTTTTTTTTTTAGATAATGTAACTTTAATGTAAAACACAGATGAAAAGGTTACAACACTGTAATGTTGCACCAAAATAATATATAAATAGATTTAAAAATTTTTAAATTAGTTCTGGGGCAGGAGTGTCAGGAGTACCAGCAGGCAGTGTTCCAGACTGCCTTAAGTGGCAGCTGTCACAGGAGCTGGAGCATTCATTGTTCAATGTTAGCAGTGGCTGCAGGTTCAGTATAATAGTCCAGTGGCAGGGCTTAGGTTGTGATCCTGATTATTGTTTAGGCCCCTTTATTTTGCCTATTTTCTGAGTGTATTTCTCCAGGCTTCCTAGAGCAATGGCTCTTAAAATGTGTTCTCACACTAGCAATATCAGCATCACTGGGTAACTTGTAAGAAAGGCAAATCACTGGGCCTCATCCCAGACCTACTGAATCAGAAACTCTGGGGGTGGGACCCAGTAATCATGTGTGCATATGTGTGTGTGTGTGTATGTGTGTGTGTTTTGCTAACAGTTTTATTGGGATATAAATCCCATAAATTCACCAATTTAAGGTATGCCATTCAGTGATTTTTTAGTATATCTATAGACCTGTGCAACTATCACCATAACCAATTTCAGAACACTTTTTTCATCCCAGAAGAAGCCCTGTACCTTTTAGCTATCACTCTTTAATATCCTCGTGGCCATTGTGCCTGAACGAAACTTATCAAACACACATATTTTCTCCATAAGGAACATCACAACCTTCTTGCACTTAGGAACACTAGACAGCACTTCAGCACTAGGCTTGGGGGCCATTTTAAACAGCAAAATCACTGTACAGAGAACAATTGCTTATAGTGTGAATTGAAACAGAACCAGAGTGTTGCCTTGTTTGACCTCGACTGGGAATGTGTGTAGGGTGACTCAAATTTCCCCTTCTCTTCAAATGAAGTGCTGTGAGTATTGATTTTGTTACACATATATTTTAGGGAGTAGGCAAATTTGCAAATACAGAACTCAAGAATAATGCGAATTGGCTGTATAATGGTTTTCAAGTTGATTAACATCTTTAATAAAGACATTGATTCATTCATACATCAAATATTCATTAGCAACCACCAGGTGCTAGGGACTAAGGTCTAGAGGAAACAAAAATGAATAAGATGCAATTCTTCAAAAAATTTAATGTCTAGTGGGACATGAGACACATACAATGACAATTGTAATACAGTGTGATAAATGCTGTAACAGCAGGAGGCATGGAGGGTGATGCAAGGATAGAAGAGGGTGTTGAGGGTGGCTTTCTGCAGCCAGTAATTCTTAAGCTGAGACATAGAAGACCACATAGGCCATAGCCAGGCAGAGAAAGGGAATGAAGATATTCTGGGCTAAGAGAATGCAGGTAACAAAGGTCTGGAGGTCTAAAATGCAAGAGTTTGTAAATTTTGCTAGACATTGGTAATAACTGGTAAATTACCATTCTGTCACTCTTCTGCCAATGCCACCCACAATACTGCTTTTTGTATTCCTCAAGTAATTTAGTTTTGAAGTTCTTTCCATGCAACCCACAAGTTTTTCCACTTGTTTTTCAGAAGCACAAGTGGGGGATCTTGTATTGTTCTTAGAGTGTTGGTACACACAAAGGGAAAATAAATGCACATCTCTGGGAATCTAAGCTTCTGCTTTCTGAAATAATCTGCTCTTAAGCAAGTAAAGTGCCTACTAAAATGTAAGGCAGCTACAGGAATTTCCAAAACAATGTGTAAGTAATTTCAGTCTACCCTGAAATACCTGCTAAATTTGAAACAGTAGGAAAAGTATATAAATCAGAAAAGTTATAATTGTATTCTCTGTGGAATATAACAAAACCCAAAAAGATAAATGAGAAAAATAGTTAGAATGTCCACTTGAAGAAGGAATATTTTAAAATTTGATATAAATAATTATATCCCTTCTAGTTTTGAGACATTTCTGGTCTTCCAAAATACTCCAAAAGAATGCTATGACACATGCCCCACTTTTCTATTTGACCCGAGAAAATCTAAACTATGTATAATGCAGATTATCACTTCCTTTAAAGTAAAGGATACATCATATATTAAAGGACTACTGGTACACTTTGCAAAGGACTACTGGTGCACTTTGCAAATTGATGTAATAGCTGTTTTGTAGCCATTTTGCATCTTTAATGTAACAAAGACTATTGTATGTGATAGAATACCTCATTTTTAATGCAAACAAATTGCACTTTCTAAATAATGAAATAGTGTATCCATTTTTTGGTCTTATTTAAACTTTATGGGCTGTTACAACTAAAAAAAATCTAAGTTCAAAATATACATCTTGCATATCTTTAGTAAATAACGTTATTAGTTACGCTTTACCCTGAAGGGCTTAAAATGAGTAGATCTAAATAATAAATTTCAAGATGATCTAAAGTGATCTTTTGGGATGAATATTGCTACACTGAGTTAATTACAACAAGAAAGTAATTGTTCATGTTAATCTGATTTTCCACTGGGAAACAGTTCAAATGACTTGAGACAAGGTCACCAACAGGATGGGCGATGGTGGACTCTGATGCAATTTAACACATGATAACATTTTGATGTAGTAAGGTGCCACACCCTGCAAATCTCTGGCTGCCTTCTCTGTTTATATATTCCCCTTGAGAAAATTCATTCTCTTCCATGTGTCCAGCAACCACCAACATTTTGATGACTGCCAAAAATACATTCCATTATAATTTGATTCTGACGATCAGGCGTATAATTCCACTTGTCCCCAGATATCTATTCTTCTATGTCCCATAGACACCCAAACTCAGCAAGTTTAAAGCATGAGAAGGAATTCCCTTTGCTCAGCCCTTCCCTACAAATCTGCTCCTCTCCATATTTACTCTGGTTAAAGGCCTTATCACTGCTGAGTAGTTCAGGCTAGAGATCTTAGTATCATGCTTGCTTTCTTTCCACCTTCAAATGCTACACTCTATAATTTCTAAATAGCCCCCATGTACCATCTCCACTGCTAGGTTATCTGATTTGCTTAAGACCCTCCTCTGTGACTGGCTCTCATCTTTGTAAAAAAACATCTAGTCATGGAACCAATTCTCCTGTTTTGTTACACCTTTTGCAATAGTTCTCAAAGTAAGGTCACTGGCACTCTGGTAATCAAATTAATGTGCAAAATTTTAAAAAATCAATGTTAAGTTTTCTTCCAGACAATTTTCTTAAGCCTTATAGCAAATACTACCACTTATCTGATAGTGGATGCTCTAATAGTGAAACAGATGAGCATTTAGTAAATGCATATTAATGGAAAAATCAGAAAAACTCAAATGTGTTTATTTCAATAGCTTTTTGTTGTGGACAAGTATGAACAGAATTGTGATTTTTATATTGGATTCTAATTGTTGAATTTCTGTTGGGAAAATTGCTATTACTTTCAGGATGGAATTCACAATATCACTATTTCATGATGTAGAACACTGTGATCTCATGGTGATCTACCACTAAAGTAAGTTTCAGAACCCTGACCTCCTCAACAAAGTTTATATCTTTATCTCATATTCAAAGTCCTTTAGAATCACCCTACTTTTCCACCCTGATCTATGCCAGTTACTACAATACACCCTCATAAATCAAACTGAGGCTGGGTTCTATGGCTTATGCCTGTAATCACAGCCCTTTGGGAGGCCAGGGCAGGAGGATTGCTTGAGTCTAGGAGATTGAGAACAGTACGAGCAACATAGTGAGATGCTATCTCTACAAAAATTAAAAAAAAATTAGCCAGATAAGGGGGTGCAGACTTGTAGTCAAAGCTACTTGGGAGGCTGAGGTGGAAGGATTGCTTGAACCCAAAAGTTTGAGATTACAGTGAGCTCTGCGCCACTGCACTCCAGCCTGGGTGACACAGCAAGACCCTGTCTCCTAAAAAATAAAAATAAAAAATAAGGCCGGGCACGGTGGCTCATGCCTGTAATTCCAGCACTTTGGGAGGCCAAGGCGGGTGGATCATGAGGTTAGAAGTTTGAGACCAGCTTGGCCAACATGGTGAAACCCCGTCTCTACTAAAAGTAAAAAAATTAGCCAGGCATGGTGGCGCGTGCCTGTAATCCCAACTATTCGGGAGCCCGAGGCAGGAGAATCGTTGGAACTCAGGAGGCAGAGGTTGCAGTGAGCCGAGATCGCGCCACTGCACTCCATCCTGGGTGACAGAGCAAGACTCTGTCTCAAAAACAAACAAACAAACAAACAAACAAAACCACAAAACTTATTTACCTTTCTTCTTTGTGTTTAAAATTTCAATAATCATTTACCTTTCTTAAGTGTATCTTGATCTTTTACACCTCCTTGTCTAAGTACATGCTAGTTTATGTTTTAGGAATTTAGTTTCTATTTCTCTGTTTAGCTAATTCTGTATCTTTTGGCCACTCCTTTTTTATTCCCCTCAAACAGTTGCTTTCTCTTCCCACATCTATAGCAACTTGTAATATACTATAGGAGTAATTATGGCACATGTAACAATGCAACAATTTAATATATTAGCACATTACATTTCTTATTTTTATTTTTCTTAAAAAAAATTAGCCAGGTGTGGTGGTCTGTGCCTTTAGTCCCAGTTACTTGGGAGGCTGAGCTGGGAGGATTGCTTGAGCCCAGGAGATGGAGGTTGCAGTGAGCCAGTGGTACCCGGGCTCAAGGGATCCTCCCACCCCAGCCTCCCAAGTAGCTGCGACTACAGGCACAGACTACCACACCTGGCTGATTTTTTGAATTTCTGTGTAGAGATGGAGTTTCTCCATGTTGCCCAGGCCAGTTTTGAACTCCTGGACTCTAGCAATCCACCCACTTTAGCCTCTCAAAGTGCTGGGATTATAGGCGTGAACCACTGTACCTGGTCTAAATTTTAAAATATATCTATTTCTGCTCCATTTTTTAGTCATCCTTCCCTTAATCTTTTCATCTTTCGTCTTCATTTATTCAACAATTTCTTTCTAATTCTCTACCGTGTACAAGATTCTATGGAAAATGGGGATGCAGAAGAGACTAAAATAAACAAAACCCCTCCATCACTGTGGTTTAGAAGTAAAATATATAGATTCTTATATTTACTATAGAGGGAAAAACAAAACAAAATAGAAAAAGGACAAAGCAAATGCTGGAGGGAGAGGTGTATCTATTTTCAATGTGATGGTCATGAAAACTGACATTGGACAAAGGCCTGAAGGAGGCAAAGGATATTTGGAGCCAGGTGGATATTTGGAGGAAAAGTGTTTCCAGGCAAAGGAAAGGGAGGTTCGAAGACCCAAAAGTTGCAGCCCAGTTTGTAATCCTATAGTTCACATGGTTTGGACTACTGCAGCAGACACTACGGCATTCATGAGATAGCCCAGTAGCAATAGCTGAATCTCAAGCAAGGGCCAAGCAGCATACCTGACTACCCCTGTAATTTCTTTCTGTTGACTTGGCATTTTGTTAAGTTGTTGAGCACAGACCGTCTAGAACCTCTTCAGGCACAAGAAAGCTCCCTGTGTCTTATGTACCAAGTAATTGCCGGATTTCTGCTAAGAAGCCGGGGATATGGGCCAAAGAACTACTTCTCTGGTATCATAGCTTTATAGTATGATCCAAAATCTCTTATTCTTTGTCCTTTGAACTATTCATCAATTCACTAAAGTATTGCTCATTTAAATACTATTTTTAAGTGTTCATACAGACAGATACCCATTACAAAGACTATTTTAGATTTGGTCTGGGATACTTTCCAATCAGTTCTACCATATGTGCCCAAACACATTTAGATTTGTGACTCTATATTATAGTCGGTACCTATTTTTAAGTGCTTATTTCCAGAATATACAAGCCATTCATAAACCTCATCGCTGATGCAGAGTGTGTCATATTTGATGCAAAGGTCAGCAATTACTTGCAGTTCCTCTTTGTTATACACCTACACATAATAAAGGAAAGAGCACAGCCAATTATTCAACATATGAGAAAATGATAGGTCAGAAGACTGTGTAAGGAGATAAGAGACTTGCTTACCTTGCCAAGTGGGTTATGTGGAGTATTTAGTATAATAGCTTTGGTTTTGGAATTAAATTTACTTTCCAGTTCTTGAGGATCTAATGTCCAGTCAGAACTAGACCATCTTTTTCCATCAACAGGTTTCTAAGCATGAAGAATGAAGATATAATTTTATTCAATTAAGTCATGTTTACTGTCTTACAAACAAATAATATAATAAGAAAAAAACATCAAAGAAAGACATGGCAAAGGAAACTGAATAAATTACCAACAAATGCTTCCCTGGAGTAGGAACAGAAAAAAAAGTAGAAAAAGACTAACAAAGAAGATAAACAGAAATAACTAGGCTGTAGTTCTGCTTAAGAGCCCAAGAAGACTTAAGTCTTATGCTCACACCTGTTAAATGGAAAAATAAGCCCTGTCAACATTAACTGCTGTTACTATTCCTTCACAGGAACTAGCTACAACTATGGTTAACATGTCTGATATTGTAAGATTAGCTGATGATTTTATGACTCACCTTAGTGTATTACTTATGTTGAAAATATTTTAAAAAGACAACTAGACAAACAGAGACATACAGGAAATCTCCAAATGCAATCAAAGTAGAAACTTTATCATAACAAAGTAACTGGTATTTTCAAGACTTCTTAAGTCTTGAAACTTTGCCATATGAACCCTACTGGCAAACTTACAGATCTCAGGGGAATAAAAACAGGTGTTGCTCCAGCCATTCTCACCATGGGCTCATAGCAGTCATAGAAAGGCACTATTAGTATGACCTGCAATAAAAGCAAATAAGATCACAACCTATCAATCATTTATTCATGTTAATAATACTGTGTACCTACTATGGACTAGGCACTGTACTATGTGTTGGGATACAGCAGTGAAAAAGGCAGGCTTTGCCCTTGTGGAGCTAACATCTGAGGGGAAGAGACCTCGGAGACAAACTTGTCCAGGTAGTCTTAATTGGACTCCTTGGTATCTTAGGGAGATCTATAAATAAGCATGCAGTGGGAGTATTTGAAATTGCATATAAAATTTCATATATGCAGAGGTAGATTTACCTGGAGAATGGGACTATCACATTCTCAAAGAGATATTCCAGCCAAAACGATTAAGCATTTTTTTATATTTCAAATTAGAAAATAAAATCTAGAATGTAAGTGATGTATAAGCAGTGACAGACAGCAGGCTATGTGGAAAGAGAACACTGTAATGTTCCCTGGTATAAAGTGCTAATTTAAAAGCATCATCTTTAGAGTAGAAATGTTTCTCTCTTCTCAAAAGCATGGTCAATTTTTGCATTTTTAGTAGAGACGGGGTTTCGCCGTTGCCCAGGCTGGTCTTGAACTCCTGACCTCAGGTGATCTGCTTGCCTGGGCCTCTCAAACTGCTGGGATAACAGGCCTGAGCCACCACACCCAGCCTCATCTGTGAAGTTCTCAGGGACTAAAACAACCTATCTTTGTGACTCTAGTGGGAAATATAAAACTCAATACAAAGTGAGAGCACAATAAAGGAAAATAAATTGGAGAGGCAGGGCAGTGGAGTGGGAGGAATATACCTGCTACTCTTCACCTTGATTTCTTCACTTTTATGATGTGAACAATTCCTCTCTCTCTCTCTCTCTTTTTTTTTTGTTTTTGAGAGTATTTATTGAGTCCTCACTATTTTAGGTGCTGGCAATAAAGCTATAAAGTTCTCCTAGAACTTACATCCTACTGAGAGAGGCTTACAATGAACAGAGAAACAAATAAGGACATTAGATAATTTCAGAGAGTAATAAATGCGATAAAGAAACAATAAATAGGTCAGTATGATAGTAAGTGACATGTATGCGGTTTCAAAATACTAGATAAGTTGATGAAGGAAGAAAGAATAGAGGAAAGAAGGCTAAGGGCTAAGCCTTACAATACTCCCAACATAGTGCAGAGAAAGAAGCAACAAAGGATTAACAACATTGAAGTATGAGACAAAACTATGTTATAGGATTAAAGGAGATTATGTATATGAAACTGTGAACTTCCTTAACATGTTTCCTTAAACATCTTGTCTGGCACAGTGGAGGGAATCAAAGTTGCAAAAGAATAACATAACACAAAGCAGACAGCAGCATCTTTCCTAAAAGTGGTATGATAAAGGGCTATAAGAGTTCAAAGAAAGTTAACAATATAGATCAGGATAAATACTCGTTCTTCAGTCCCAGTGTAAGCAATATCTCTCTGGAGCTTTCTAGACTTAGCAGATGTGATTGCCTCTTCCTTTTGTCACTACTGTAAGTTATACATTCTCCACTATTGGCTAACACACAATGTTCCTCTTAATCCATTTGCAAGTCTGTGTTCTCTACTAGTCAGAGAATTCCTTCTGCACAGAACCTATCTTTAAAAAAATCTTCTATCTCACAGTGCTTAGCATATATTGGATCCTCTGTATTTTGTGAATAAATGAAAGAGGCAAAAAGTATTAAAGCAAGGGTATTGGAATGATAATGGGAAATACAGGTAGAGATGACTGAGGTAGGTGCCAAAAGTTGGTTATACATCACAGTACTAAATAGCAAAATCATTTTACCTTCCTGTCATATTAATACATCCTCAGCCAGGTGTGGTGGCTTACGCTTGTAATCCCAGCACTTTGGGAGGCTGAGGCAGATGGATCACCTGAGGTCAGGAGTTCGAGACCAGTCTGGCCAACATGGCAAAATCCCATCTCTCCTAAATATACAAAAATTAGCTGGGCTTGGTGGCGGACGCCTGTAATCTCAGCTACTCAGTAGGCTGGGGCAGGAGAATCACTTGAACCCGTGAGGTGGAGGTTGCAGTGAGCCAAGATTGCACCACTGTACTCCAGCCTGGGCAACAAAGCGGGGCTCTGTCTCCAAAAAAAAAAAAAAAAAAAAATCTTCATATGAGATGGCTTATACAATTACTGGGCACACAAAGACATTAATCAAAAACTTGTAGACCAAGTTAAGATTAAAGGTTATTTTAGCAATGAAAACAAAAGATTCTTTTTCCCCAGCAGTGTTAGTCCCTTCCATCTGCCCTTATTTAAATAGGCTATAAAAATAAGAATAAATTATATGCAAGAAAATGGATGAATCTGACAGACACAAAAATAAATGAATGAATCTAGACCCAAGAGTATATATACATTGTATAATTCTATTCCTATCAAGTAAAAGAGCAGTCAAAACAAGTCTATGGTTATAGAAGACAGAAGAGTAGTTACCTCTGGGAGAATATAGACTATGAAGAGGAACAAAGGAGCTTTCTGGGTACTGGAAATGTATTATCTTTATCTGGTTGTAGTTACACAGAAATTTACACAGTAATTTATCCAGCTGTACATTTAAGATTTGTGAACTTTATTGTACATGCATTATACTTAAAACATAATTAAAAATAAAAAGAGAAAACAGCATAATATAAACAAAAGATTCAAAGGTGGGACAAATGATAATTGATTCAACATAGGTATTATGATAATGTTAACATACTTACTTCATCTCCCTCATCAATTAATGCTTGAACGGTGTTAAAAAGAGATCCATATGCTCCTACTGTCACAAGGATTTCTTTATTTGAATCGATTTGCTTTTGATAAAGCTTTTCATACAGGTAGGACAGAGCTTTCACAAGTGATGGATGGCCCTATTGGATTAAAAATAAGAACAAAACCTTGAATTTAAATATGGGACCTATTGTTTGAGGTAATATGGCTCTAAAATGTAAGAATTTTTAAAATTTGGATTTGATGTTTATAATTACCCAAAGAAAATGTATATTTTTTAATGGCAATGAATTTTTTAAAATTTACTGCATTTAGAGGATTCCCACACTATTGGTCATGAAGGCTTGCTAATGATTAAAACTTCTTACTAAATAAAGGATTTGGGATTATATAATTTCAAAGTATTTGCTTTGAATAAAAATGAACCTTTCATATTTTTTGACAGTAATTAAATCATATTGAAAAGAGTTGGATTTGTTTCCCAGTTAAAATAAGTAAAAAAACCCCACGTTAACTGTACACCCCCTCCTTGGCTCTTCCTGATTGATGGAGAGATGATTACACCAACCAATGGACTAGGGAGAGAGAACAAAAACAAATTCACCAAAGACACGAACACTAGTGTTGATGTGATAGCAAATGTTAGAAGGAAGTGAGACGCTACTCACATTGATAGTCAAGAGAGCAGTGGTTATCCAAGGTAACTACTTTCATAGGTGAAGTGAAGGGATTATGAAGGTATAGTCTGAGGCAAGTAGGGGATCTGAAGACTCCTGGATTAGCTCTCCCTAAGTTCTCTTCTAGGTTCTCTCCCCTTCTTTCCTTTTCTTTCTTCCTTTCCCTTTCCCTCTCCTTGTTTTATTTGGTATTTAAGTCAATATTTCTTGTTGCTTTCCGTCCAGCATCTACCTCCTCATTTTGCTTTTGAAGTACCATCCTGATTTTCTATCCCCTGAGAGTAAGAATGCAAATGCAGGTCATGTGCCTTTGTTTGAAAGCACTTTGGGCTCTGGAGCAATAAACTGAGTCCCTTTGAATTTTACTCTAATAGCAGGTCTAACGAATTCTAGCAAAAGGAGATCTGAAAAGCAACTGTAAACACTGTACACATTTCTTAGAATGATAAATGTTTGTGTTTTTAAAATTAAAAATTTAAATACAAAAATAATTTATGCTTCATGTAATAAGTAAAACTAGGCAAAGATGTGTAAAAAATTACAATCCCTCCTCAATATTATTTCATTCCCATCCCCCTGAGGTGACCGATGTCCATAGCCTGGTGATAGTGCAACACCACTCTCAGTGCTTATACCAATATAAAAACACATAGACATGTACATACCTATGTATTTACAAAAACTAGAATATATGTATTAATAAATAAGTGGGTATGGTTGTGTTCTAATAAAACTTTATTTACAAAATCTGACAGATTGGACCCATAGGCCATAGATTGCAAAACCCCGCTATAGACCAATTTGAGAAAACTGACAGACAATATTTAGTCTCTCAATCCATGAACATCATTCCCAATTTATTTAGGTATTGCTTAATTTCTCTAAGTAATGTTTTATAGATTTCATTGTACAGATCTTGGATATATTTTAAAAAATTTATTCTTAAATGTTTTGTGTTTTGGGATACTACTATAAATAGTATTTAAAAAATTTTACTTTCTAATTGTTCATTTTAATATATAGAAATACAACTGATTTTTGTGTATTGGCTTTGTGTCCTGTGACCTTGCTCAATTCATTTATTAGTTATAGCAGGCTTTTTTTTCTCTTTTAGAATTCCTTAGGATATTCTATGTACACAGTCATGTTTTCTGAAAATGAGTTTACATTTTTCTTCTCTCTAATCTATGTATCTTTATATCTCACAGGACTCCAGTACACTGATGAATTACAGTGGTCAGAGTGGACATCTTTGCTGTCTTTTCAATCTTGCTACATTATGTGCATTACAGGTGTAATCTGTAGGTTTCTCATAGATTCCTTTGCTGAGAGTGAGAAAGCTCCATTCTATTCCTAATTGGCTGAAAACTTTTATTATAAATGAGAGTTGAATTTTGTCAGATGTGTTTTCTATATATACTACGTAAGATGATCTTTTTTTTTCTGATAATATAGCATAATTGCAATGATTAATTTTTGGATATTAAAACTAACCCTGTATTCCTATGGTAAACCTTACTTGGTCAGGATGTATTACTTTTTATATCTTTATACACAGGGGCACACACACACACGCATGCACACATCTGGATTTGATTTACTAAAATTTCACAATTTTTGTTTCTATGTTCATGAGAGATATTGAACTGGAGTTTTCTTTCTTTCTTTCTCTGGCATTTTTTAAATCAGTTTTTGTATCAGGGTAATGCTGAAACTAATTTTATGAGACCAGCATTACCCTGATACAAAACCCCTGATTAAAAGGTCAGACAGGGCCGGGCGCGGTGGCTCACGCCTGTAATCCCAGCACTTTGGGAGGCCGAGGTGGGCGGATCACAAGGTCAGGAGATCGAGACCATGGTGAAACCCCGTCTCTACTAAAAATACAAAAAATTAGCCGGGCGCGGTTGTGGGCGCCTGTAGTCCCAGCTACTCGGGAGGCTGAGGCAGGAGAATGGCGTGAACCCGGGAGGCGGAGCTTGCAGTGAGCCGAGATCGCGCCACTGCACTCCAGCCTGGGCGACAGAGCGAGACTCCGTCTCAAAAAAAAAAAAAAAAAAAAAAAAAGGTCAGACAGAACCATTAGGCATTTCTTTATTTTTCAAATTACAAAAATTGTTGATCAATAAGTAAAAGTTTTCCATCCTGCTCCATTTTCTGAATGTGCAGAATTGGTATTATTAGGTTGGTGCAAAAGTAATTGTGTTTTTGTCATTAAAATTAATGGAAAAACCGTAATTACTTTTGAACCAACTTAATAGTTCTTCCTTAAATGCTTGGTAGAATTCACTAATAAGCCATCTAGGTATTGCAGTTTATTTGCAAGAAAACTTTAATTACAAATTCATTTTCTTTTTTTTTTTTTGAGACAGAGTCTCATTCTGTCACCCAGGCTGGAGTGCAGTGGAGTGATCTCGGCTCACTGCAAGCTCCGCCTCCCAGGTTCACGTCATTCTTCTGCCTCAGCCTCCCAAGTAGCTGGGACTACAGGTACCCGCCACCACACCTGGCTAATTTTTTGTATTTTTAGTAGAGACGGGGTTTCATCATGTTAGCCAGGATGGTCTCCATCTCCTGACCTCGTGATCCACCCACCTCAGCCTCCCAAATTGCTGGGATTACAGGTGTGAGCCACTGTGCCTGGCCACAAATTCATTTTCTTTCATTGACATAGGGCTAGTTGCATTTTTCATCTCTCCTTGTGTCAGTTTAGGTAATTTGTATCTTTTTTTTTATTTTTTAAAATTTTATTTATTTATTTATTTATTTTTATACTTTAAGTTCTAGGATACATGTGCACAACGTGCAGGTTTGTTACATATGTATACTTGTGCCATGTTGGTATGCTGCACCCATCAACTCATCAGCACCCATCAACTCATCATTTACATCAGGTATAACTCCCAATGCCATCCTTACCCCCTCCCCGCTCCCCATAATAGGCCCTGGTGTGTGATGTTCCCCTTCCGGAGTCCAAGTGATCTCATTGTTCAATTCCCATCTCTGAGTGACAACATGCGGTGTTTCGTTTTCTGTTCTTGCGATAGTTTTCTGAGAATGATGGTTTCCAGCTGCATCCACGTCCCTACAAAGGACACAAACTCATCCTTTTTTATGGCTGCATAGTATTCCATGGTGTATATGTGCCACATTTTCTTAATCCAGTCTGTCACTGATGGACATTTGGGTTGATTCCAAGTCTTTGCTATTGTGAATAGTGCCACAATAAACATATGTGTGCATGTGTCTTTATAGCAGCATGATTTATAATCCTTTGGGTATATACCCAGTAATGGGATGGCTGGGTCATATGGTATTTCTAGTTCTAGATTCTTGAGGAATTGCCACACTGTTTTCCACAATCGTTGAACCAGTTTACAATCCCACCAACAGTGTAAAAGTGTTCCTATTTCTCCACATCCTCTCTAGCACTTGCTGTTTCCTGACTTTTTAATGATTGCCATTCTAACTGGTGTGAGATGGTATCTCATTGTGGTTTTGATTGCATTTCTCTGATGGCCAGTGATGACGAGCATTTTTTCATGTGCCTGTTGGCTGTATGGATGTCTTATTTTGAGAAATGTCTATTCATATCCTTTGCCCACTTTTTGATGGGGTTGTTTTTTTCTTGTAAATTTGATTGAGTTCTTTCTAGGTTCTGGATATTAGCTCTTTGTCAGATGAGTACATTGCAAAAATTTTTTTCCCATTCTGTAGGTTGCCTGTTCACTCTGATGGTAGTTTCTTTTGCTGTGCAGAAGCTCTTTAGTTTAATTAGATCCCATTTGTCAATTTTGGGAATGGAAGTTCATTCATGATTTGGCTCCCTGTTTGTTTGTTACCGGTATAAGAATGCTTGTGATTTTTGCACATTGATTTTGTATCCTGAGACTTTACTGAAGTTGCTTCTCAGCTTAAGGAGATTTTGGGCTGAGATGATGGGGTTTTCTAAATATACGACCATGTCATCTGCAAACAGGGACAATTTGACTTCTTATTTTCCTAACTGAATACCCTTTATTTCTTTCTCTTGCCTGATTGCCCTAGCCAGAACTTCCAACACTATGTTGAATAGGAGTGGTGAGAGAGGGCATCCCTGTCTTGTGCCAGTTTTCAAAGGGAATGCTTCCAGTTTTTGCCCATTCAGTATGATATTGGCTGTGGGTTTGTCATAAATAGCTCTTACTTATTTTGAGATACGTTCCATCAATACCGAATTTATTGAGAGTTTTTAGCATGAAGGGCTGTTGAATTTTGTCAAAGGCCTTTTCTGCATCTATTGAGACAATCATGTGGTTTTTGTCTTTGGTTCTGTTTATATGCTGGATTACGTTTATTGATTTGTATATGTTGAACCAGCCTTGCATCCCAGGGATGAAGCCCACTTGATCATGGTGGATAAGCTTTTTGATGTGCTGCTGGATTTGGTTTGCCAGCATTTTATTGAGGATTTTTGCATCGATGTTCATCAGGGATATTGATCTAAATTTCTCTTTGTTTGTTGTGTCTCTGCCAGGCTTTGGTATCAGGATGATGTTGGCCTCATAAAATGAGTTAGGGAGGATTCCCTTTTTCTATTGATTGGAATAGTTTCAGAAGGAATGGTACCAGCTCCTCCTTGTACCTCTGGTAGAATTCGGCTGTGAATCCGTCTGGTCCTGGACTTTTTTTGGTTGGTAGGCTATTAATTATTGCCTCAATTTCAGAGCCTGTTATTGGTCTATTCACGGATTCAACTTCTTCCTGGTTTAGTCTTGGGAGAGTGTAAGTGTCCAGGAAATTATACATTTCTTCTAGGTTTTCTAGTTTATTTGCATAGAGGTGTTTATAGTATTCTGTGATGGTAGTTTGTATTTCTGTGGGGTCGGTGGTGATAGTCCCTTTATCATTTTTTATTGTGTCTATTTGATTCTTTTCTCTTTTCTTCTTTATTAGTCTGACTAGCAGTCTATCAATTTTGTTGATCTTTTCAAAAAACCAGCTCCTGGATTCATTGAATTTTTGAAGGGTTTTTTGTGTCTCTATCTCCATCAGTTCTGCTCTGATCTTAGTTATTTCTTGCCTTCTGCTAGCTTTTGAATGTGTTTGCTCTTGCTTCTCTAGTTCTTTTAATTGTGATGTTAGGGTGTCAATTTTAGATCTTTCCTGCTTTCTCTTGTGGGCATTTAGTGCTATAAATTTCCTTCTACACATTGCTTTAAATGTGTCCCAGAGATTCTGGTATATTGTATCTTTGTTCTCATTGGTTTCAAACAACATCTTTATTTCTGCCTTCATTTCGTTATGTACCCAGTAGTCATTCAGGAGCAGGTTGTTCAGTTTCCATGTAGTTGAGTGGTTTTGATTGATTTTCTTAGTCCTGAGTTCTAGTTTGATTGCACTGTAGTCTGAGCAATAGTTTGTTATAATTTCTGTTCTTGTACATTTGTTGAGGAGTGCTTTACTTCCAACTATGTGATCAATTTTGGAATAAGTGCGATGTGGTGCTGAGACGAATGTATATTCTGTTGATTTGGGGTGGAGAGTTCTATAGATGTCTATTAGGTCCACTTGTTGCAGAGTTGAGTTCAATTCCTGGATATCCTTGTTAACTTTCTGTCTCATTGATCTGTCTAATGTTGACAGTGGGGTGTTGAAGTCCCCCATTATTATTGTATGGGAGTCCAAGTCTCTTTGTAAGTCTCTAAGGACTTGCTTTATGAATCTGGGTGCTCCTGTATTGGGCGCATATATATTGAGGATAGTTAGCTCTTCCTGTTGAATTGATCCCTTTACCATTATGTAATGGCCTTCTTTGTCTCTTTTGATCTTTGATGGTTTAAAGTCTGTTTTATCAGAGACTAGTATTGCAACCCTTGCTTTTTTTGTTCTCCATTTGCTTGGTAGATCTTCCTCCATCCCTTTATTTTGAGCCTATGTATATCTCTGCATGTGAGATGGGTCTCCTGAATACAGCAAACTGATAGGTCTTGACTCTTTATCCAATTTGCCAGTCTGTGTCTTTTAATTGGACCATTTAGTCCATTTACATTTAAGGTTAATATTGTTATGCATGAACTTGATCCTGTCATTGTGATATTAGCTGGTTATTTTGCTTGTTAGTTGATGCAGTTTCTTCCTAGCATTGATGGTCTTTACATTTTGGCATGTTTTTGCAATGGATGGTACCGGTTGTTCCTTTCCATGTTTAGTGCTTCCTTCAGGGTCTCTTGTAGGGCAGGCCTGGTGGTGACAAAATCTCTAAGCATTTGCTTGTCTGCAAAGGATTTTATTTCTCCTTCACTGATGAAACTTAATTTGGCCAGATATGAAATTCTGGGTTGAAAATTCTTTTCTTGGCCCCCACTCTCTTCTGGCTTGTAGAGTTTCTGCTGAGAGATCTGCTGTTAATCTGATGGGCTTCCCTTTGTGGGTAACCCGGCCTTTCTCTCTGGCTGCCCTTAACAGTTTTTCCTTCATTTCAACTTTGGTGAATCTGACAATTATGTGTCTTGGAGTTGCTCTTCTCGAGCAGTATCTTTGTGGCGTTCTTTGTATTTCCTGAATTTGAATGTTGTCCTGCCTTACTAGGTTGGGGAAGTTCTCTTGGATGATATCCTGCAGAGTGTTTTCCAACTTGGTTCCATTTTCCCCATCACTTTCAGGCACACCAATCAGACGTAGTCTTTTCACATAATCCCATATTTCTTGGAGGCTTTGCTGATTTCTTTTTCCTTTTTTTTCTCTAGACTTCTCTTCTCGCTTCATTTGATTCATTTGATCTTTAATCATTGATACTCTTTCTTCCAGTTGATCGAGTTGGTTACTGAAGCTTGTGCATTTGTCACGTATTTCTCGTGTCATGGTTTTTATCTCTGTCAGTTTATTTATGGCCTTCTCTGCATTGACTATTCAAGTTATCCATTCTTCCATTCTTTTTTCAAGATTTTTAGTTTCTTTGCACTGGGTACGTAGTTCCTCCTTTAGCTCTGAGAAGTTTGATGGACTGAAGCCTTCTTCTCTCAACTCGTCAAAGTCATTCTCCATCCAGCTTTGATCTGTTGCTAGCGATGAGTAGCGTTCCTTTGGAGGGGCAGATGTGCTCTGATTTTTTGAATTTTTTGAATTTCCAGCTTTTCTGCCCTGGTTTTTCCCCATCTTTGTGGTTTTATCTGCTTTTGGTCTTTCTTTGATGCTGGTGACGTACTGATGGGGTTTTGGTGTGGGTGTCCTTTCTGTTTGTTAGTTTTCCTTCTAACAGTCAGGACCCTCAGCTCTAGGTCTGTTGGAGATTGCTTGAGGTCCACTCCAGACTCTGTTTGCCTGGTTATCAGTAGCGGAGGCTGCAGAAGATAGAATACTGCTGTACAGCGAGTGTTGCTGTTTGATTCTTGCTCTGGAAGCTTCGTCTCAGGGGTGTACCCTGCTGTGTGAGGTGTCAGTCTGCACCTAGTGGGGGATGTCCCCCAGTTAGGCTACTCAGGGGTCAGGGACCCACTTGAGCAGGCAGACTGTTCTCAGATCTCAGCCTCTGTGCTGGGAGATCCACTGCTCTCTTCAAAGCTGTCAGACAGGGTTATTAACATCTGCAGAGGTTTCTGCTGCCTTTTTTTTTTTTTTTTTTTTTTTGCTATGCCCTGTCCCCAGAGGTGGAGTCTACAGAGACAGGTAGGCCTCCTTGAACTGCGGTGGGCTCCACCCAGTTCGAGCTTCCCGGAGGCTTTGTTTACCTACTTAAGTCTCAGCAATTGCGGGCACCCCTCCCTCAGCCTCGCTGCTGCCTTGCAGTTAGATCTCAGAGTGCTGTGCTAGCAGTGAGGGAGGCTCCGTGGGCATGGGACCCTCCCGGCCAGGTGTGGGATATAATCTCCTGGTGTGCTATTTGCTAAGACCCTTGGTAAAGTGCAGTATTAGGGTGGGAGTTACCCAATTTTCCAGGTGTTGTGTGTCTCAGTTTCTAAAGGGATTCCCTTCCCCCTTGCGCTTCCCAGGTGAGGTGATGCCTCGCCCTGCTTCAGCTCTCGCTGGTCGGGCTGCACAAGCTGACCAGCACCAATTGTCTGGTACTCCCCAGTGAGATGAACCCGGTACCTCAGTTGAAAATGCAGAAATCGCCCGTCTTCTGTGTCGCTGGCGCTGGGAGCTGGAGGCTGGAGCTGTTCCTATTTGGCCATCTTGCTTGCACCCCTCCTGTATCTTTTAAATAATCTGTTCATTTCATCCAAGTTGTCAATGTATTAACATAAAATTATACCTAATATTATCCTATTATTGCTTTCATGTCTGCATGATCAGTAATTATATTCCTTCTTTCATTCTTCATATGGTAATTTGAGTTTTCTCTTTTTTATTGGTCAATCTAGGTAAAACTTTTACTTACTGTTCTTTTCAAAGAACCAGCTTTTGGTTTCATTAATTTTCTCTATTGTTGGTTTATTTCTAGCCTTTCATTATGGATTTGTATAGACTGGGGAGTGAGTTATGTTGAGTAGGTCTGAGATGGAGGTCTGTAGGGTGGGCCAGGGATTGAGAGTCTATGAAGAGCAGGGATTCTCACCAGTGTCAAACCCTGTGACACAGGTAAGTTTCACTGCTTTTCCCTGTGCTATTCCCAAAGCAAAATCCTTCTATAGGTTTTTATAGTTAGACCACTATAAAAGCCAAAAAGGCTTCCTCCTATACCATTCCCCTCCCCATTTCCCACAATATCATGAAAGGAAAAGACAAGTGGTCAGACATATGATAACTGCATGGCTCTTGGCACAACAGATATAAGTCTACAGTTCAAAGGTACATCTGATTTAGAAAATCTTTGGCTATCCTAGGCATTTCATTACAGAAGGATGGGAGTGAGCTGGGACAGGGAGGAAAAAGGTAACTAGTTGGGTATAGAGTATATTAAATAAAGGGTCAGTGCTGAGGCTGCATAAATGTTGATGAGATAGAAAAGACATATCTCAAGAGAATATTGTTCCTTATCTTGTTGCCATAGGATCCTATCTTGGAGCAACAGTAAAGTAAGGGCCAAAAGAAAAGTGTAGAAGGGCTGGAAGTAGAGGAAGGCTCATCCCAGGACATAGGGCAAGGGCAGAAGTTTCTGTGTTGCTAGGATGGGACAGCTGGTCCCAGAAAGTCACTTACATATGAATGACAGAATTGCACATGCGCACACACACACACACACACACACCCTAATATAAAATAAAAGCTCACGCCCCATATGGTCTTGATATACTTACAAAGCCTCGTGTATACTGATTCAGGCTATCGATTGCTGAAATCTTTGATAATTCTTCTTTTACATATGTAGGAGGGGATATATCTGGAAAGCCTTGGCCAAGATTCACAACAGAAGGGTCTGCAGCCAATTTGGTAAATTCAATCCTAAGATTGAAAAAAATACTAACATTAATAAGTTCTAAAATTATAAAGTTTGCTTTTTTACATCTTATAGTCTTATCACAAAACTGACAAATAAGACCCTAGTTTAGTCCTATAGGTTTTAAAAAACGAGTTTCCAACAAAAATTTACCACCCACAAAATCAGTTTACCAAATAGAATGATGGCTGAATTTATGAATCCAATGTCCCTTACAAACCTCAGTTTCATGCTACCCATATTTTAACCATATATATATATTTTCTCAACAATTCCAGCTGCTGCTAAGTTCTTTCATCAACTATTAGAGAACAGAACTAATAAGAAAAGTTCCTGGATTGGAAGGTAAGTTCCATGAGGGCATTAGCATTGTCCTTTTCTATCCCATATGTCCAGTGTCCAGCACAGGGCATGGCACATGTGCCAAATGAACAATTCAGTATATGGATTGCTAACTTCCTTCCATTTTCATTTAATGGATGAATTAAATGAGGACCTTTATTTATAGATGGGGCAAAAAAACTCCCATCTAAAGATGTGCAAATATGTAGGAAAACCTCACTAAATTATTATTATTTATTTTAAGATACTCACCACATATTACCATCAAGTCCTTCAATCCGTTTTGCATTTGTGAATTTCAATGACATTTTCTGAAATACATAAATATTGACAAGGAATTGCCTTAGTCAAAATTTTAAAATGCCAGTAAATCATGGGTCACTTTTCTTCCTTTCCCCTACTGTTCCCATGTAAATAGTAGTTCCATAAAGATAAATCTTAGATTCCAACACAAAATTCTGAAGAGGAATTCATCTCCCACCTACTACTGAAGGAATGCCTTTTTTTTTTTTCTCAGACATGGTTGCCCAGGTTGGAATGCAGTTGTGTGATCCTGGCTCACTGCAACTTCAACTGCCCAGGCTCAAGCAATCCTCCTGTCTCAGTCTCCTGAGTAGCTGGGACTATAGGCATATCCCACTGTGTCAAACTATTTTGTTTTTGTTGTTGTTTGTTTGTATTTTTTATAGAGACAGGGTCTTGTGGTGTTGCCCAGGTTGGCCTCAAATTCCTGGCCTCAAATGATCCTCCTACCTTGGCCTCTCAAAGTTTGGGATTACAGGTGTGAGCTACCATGCTTGGCTGGAAGGAATGCTTTTTTAAAAATGAAATTTAGATGTTCATCTTCTCACCTAAGGACAAAAAGTATCATCCTACCCTAGAAAGCTAATCAGTTTGAAGGCTTGTAATGTAGTAAAGAGAACAATAATAATATTTTAAAAGTCAGTTCAAAAAAATATCTTCAGCCATGCTCTGAAGATCATTTTAGGTAAGACGTACTAAGAGTTTCACAAGTAAGTTCCTTGTATGACATATAGGAAAGACTCAACAAATGGTTTTAAAGCTGCTCACTAAGGGGTTCCGTAATTATTGCTAACATTATTGAGTACTGACTATGTACTAGGTACTGTTCTAAGTGCTTTACATAATTACCTCATTATTAACGTATATTTAAAAAATATGTAGTAGTCGTATTACATAGTTCAAACTATGAGGCACAGAGGTACAGAGAGGTTAACATCACACAGCTTTTCACATCTGCTAAAGTTTATGAAAGCCAGTAATATTTAAACCCAAGCAAGTTCAACTCAGGATCTGAACCCAGACAGTCTGACTCCAGAATCCATACTCAGAACTATTATATAATTTTATACTGTCTTTTATATAATAAGACCTTCTAAAATTATTACTAGAATGCTGCCTCTTAAAAGTATATTATAAATTTAGGATGAGCTTACTTATACCAAGCAAGCTAAGGCTGTGGTAGAAAAATAGGAATTAAAATTATCACATAGCATACAATTTTTTAGTTCTTTAGATTCTAAAATTGAGTTTTATACTGTCTCTCAAAAGTATTGAATTAGCTTTGAGTTCATTGTTAACAAGCTGGTAGAAATAAAAAAATGATTGACAGCATTTTTGCAAAGAATTTTCTGATAGAATATTAATGTAATTTTAATTCAATCTGGGAAGAAGATAACGATCATGGTTATTAAATAGACCATTGTTCTCATTCTATTCTAAATAATGGGACCAAGAAAAGTACCTTTTTTAGTCTCATATTTTTAGTCTTTGAAACTCCAGTGAAGTAAATCACATGAAAATTCTCTAGAAGTTAAAACGCTTGCTCGAATAGCATTATAATTACCCACCTGAACCTGATGCCATTCCAGAGACAACAGTTGTACAACTACCAAGTTCTAGCATGATAGATAGAAACATATATCTTAACAAATGCTCTTTTCTGTCTCTAAAACAATGTTTAAAGCTTAATTCATTCAGTAGAGACCACAAACACAAAGGATGATTTATACATAAAAAAGTGAGGATGATGTGCTGTAGATAATTTAGAGGCAAAGTCCAACTTTACTTAAAATTATTTAGGTAATTGAGGTTGAAATGCACTTTCAGGTTTAATTTTCTTTAAAATTTGTTTCTAGACCGGCCTCTTCTCTCATTGTTCCTCCTGCTTCCTCTTCCCTCCCAATTCTATGCCACACCCATTCTAATTTTTCAAATAGTTCATGTTCTCTCTCATTTCAGTAGTTTCATGTGTGATCTTTGCTATGCCCAAATGCTCTTTCTATACCAACGTTTCTCAATGTTTTTTTTTTTTTTTAATCATTGCCCACCTAAGGAGACTTTCTTAGAATTTTTTTCCTAGTCATCTTCCCTCCCCTCAATTAAATATTAAGAGGAATGCAATTTTGTCAGGTAGGATTGAGCTTTGGATGGTGACAAAACGGTGTGATAGCTAAGATTTATCTTGTCTGCCAAGCATCCATTTTCTTCTCCTGGGGTAGGTCATGCCCTTGTTGAGAATGTATGTTCTCTACTCAGTCCAATTCCTGGTCCCCACCACCCTTCCTTGCACTTGGCTAACTCGTATTCCACCTGCCACGTGCAGTTCTCAAATTTGACTGCATTCTCTCCTGAAAGCCTTCTTTGGTTCCACGAGTCAGGGTCAGGTGCTTCTCCTATGTGCTTCCATTAAATGCAGTACAGCAAGTCATCACTTAAAAGTGTCATATAGGTTCTTGGAAACTGCAACTTTAAGCATAATGATATACAGCATGACCAATTTTACCATAGGCTAATTGAGATAAATAAGAGTTCAGTTTCTACAGCATATTTCTGGTCACAAAAACGTTGCTATACTTCTAAATAAAGACTGAAACACTTCTAATATGAAACATTGAAATAAATGTGAGCTATACATACATTTATTTTAAGGAATTTGCTTATGTGTTTGTGAGGGCTGGCAAATCTGAAATCTGCAGAGCAAGTTGGAGACTCAGGGAAGAACTGATGCTGTAACTGGAGTCAGAAGAACTCCCTCTTCCTTGAGGACCTCAGTCTTTTCCTCTTAAGGTCTTCCACTGAATGAGGCTCACCCATATTATGGATGGTAATTGGCTTTACTGAAAGTCTACTGATTTAAACGTTAATCTCATCTAAAATACCCCTTCACAGCAATACCTAGACTGATGTTTGGCAAATATCTGGGTACCATGGCATAGCCAAGGCGACACCATCACAGTGGCCAACATATAGTTATATGCCTAGCACATAGCAAGTTTTTAATAATTATCTCATGAATGAATTTTTTTAAAAAACCTCACTCACATTACAGGGTGAAGTTATAGTGTCAGTTAGCTGTGTCAGTCAGCTAAAGTTAATTTATGCTTCAGTGATAAATGACCCCAAAGTCTTGGTGGCCTAAAATCATAAAGGTTTTCTTGCTTATACTACATATCCACTGAGGTTCAGCTGCTGCCCTGGTCTGTGTCACTGTCATTCTGAGACATAGGCTGATGAAACAGCCTCCACCTGGAACACTGTCTGTTTCATGGCAGAAGGAAGAGGCTCTTAAAAGATTCTGTTAGGATGTGCACACATCGCTTCTTTTCATATTTTATTGGGTAGAGCAATTTCACGGCTAAGCTTCCCATCAGTGCGGCAAGGAAATGTAACTGTCCAGCAGGGAAGAGCAGCAAATAATTGTGAAAAACAACATGGCAGAAATGAAGTCTGGCGGTATAATGAGATACATGGTTGTTATGGGTTGCACCATGTCCCCCCTTACTTTCATATGTTGAAGTCCTAACTCCCAATTCCTCTGGATGTAATCTTATGTGGATATAGGGTTACTGCAGATGTAATTAGTTAAGATGAGGTCATTAGCGTGAACCCTAATCCAGTATGACTGGTGGTCTTACAAAAAGGTGACATCTGGACATAGACATAGACCCTGTGTGACGATGAAGGCACAGACTAAGGTGATGCTCCTGCCAGCCAAGGAAGGCAGAGATTTCCAGGCAATCACCAGATGATAGTGGGGTTGAGGGGTATAGAACAGTCTTATTCACAGCCCTCAGAAGGAACCGGACCTGCTGATACTTATCTGAGACTTTTAGTCTCCTGAACACTGAGGGAATAAACTGCTGTTATTTAATAAGCCACCTAGTTTGTAGTACTTTGTTAAGGCAACCTGAGGGAACTAACACACTGGTGAAAGTTTACAAGACACTATACAATGTTTGGAGTCACCAAGATTCAGCAGCAGATGCAAACGCTCACTGTCTAAGTAAGAACTACTTTTCAGAGCAGATCCAGTATCAGGTAATTAAAATAAACCTGGAATCCTATGGGGAAATCACGGCATGAGTCCCATGCAAGTAAGGGAATGTCTATAAGGCTTGTATAACTTTTGGATCCGCTAACCCTGTTATATGACTTTGGCTACCAGGGCGATTAAAGGTCTATATTTCATGTTATTAACGCAAAACTGCTAGTGAAATCAAAGGTAGCATCTTTTAACCTTACTTTTGCTAACTTGAAGCTAAAACAATGAAGTTCTAGAAATTCACCACCAGGTGGCAATCTTGACAAAGGTAAGGAAAAGATTAAGTCTAGTTTGGACAGATGAAAAACACTAATAGTATATGTTGAACCCATGATCTTAAGACCCTAGTACATCAAAGTTTCAATTATATATATTTTTAGGACTCTTCTCATAAGATCTGAGGCAGGTGAGATGGGACAGGTACAGAAAAAGTCTTCCTAAATGATGGCCTGAACTGGGGGAATTGAGGCTGTGGATATCTGTGTAGTATGGGCTGTGAAACAAGTCTTCATCCAGAGAAGCCAAGGTTACAGCCAAAAAGTTTAATATTAGTAACAGTAATAATAAGTGCAAGAAAAGGCCAGATATAGAAAACGCAAAGCTCATGGTTGGAGAGGGGAGAGGAGAAAACAGAGAAGCAGGCTTGGGAAGCAGATGGATATCACACTTCAGGACCACGAAGAGCAGAAGTGAGCACCCCTTTCATGGGGGGCCTGGATGCTGGGGGGCCCAAACTGTTACTGTCTTTTAGATCTATGAAGTAGGGATTTGTAGTTGCAATCATATGTCATTTAAAAAATATTTTAAATTGTCTCTTAACAAAGTACTGTATCTTAAGTATTTTATGAATTTTCTGAGTCATAAAAATTTCACTTTTAATTACAATGTATATTTTTGATTGTTTTTGTACCATATTTTACTCATTCATTCCCCTGTTGCTGGGCATTTGTTATTTCCAGTGTCTTG